CATCCTAGGACATCCAGGGGCATCCAGGGACATCCTGGGACATCCTGGGACATCTACGGACATCTAGGGACATCCAGGGACATCCAGGGTCATCCAGGGACATCCAGGGACATCCAGGGACATCGAGGGGCATCCAGGGACATCAAATGCGGACATCCAGGGACATCTAGGGACATTCAGGGACATCTAGGGACATCTAGGGACATCCAGGGACATCGAAGAACAAGTAAGGACACGTACGGACAACATCACGTTCTGTGCAACCTTGTGGAAATTCAGCGAAACGAATTGAAACTCATGAAACCCTATTGAACACATCAGAAGCCGTGGAAAACATAAACAAAACAAGGCGTGGCTAGTTCCAATTGGAGACAGACCACCATGATAACTCATGCGAACCCCACGAAACCCATAGGACACCGACACAAATGTGTAGCAACATCAGAAGCAGCTGCTCAAACAAAAGCTAAGATGGATACTGGCTCCAACAAGTTTAGTGTGCAGTAACAGTTGCGCTGCGGAATTGTCGTGCTGTTTTGTTTGTTTCATGGGCGCGAGCAGGAATTTCGAATTTGATATCGAATCGTATCGACCGTCGCGTCGAGCTTCGAAATAGACATTAACTGAACGATAAATCGATCGACTTCTGTGTCTACGCCCCGTCGTTTGTAGAGTCGAGAACCCGCCCGATGCCCCGCCAAAAAAACTCATCACCATGACGTCCGGCATCACAATCTACCACCAGGCTCCCGCGCGCGGCGCGATGAGCTGCTTTTTGGACGGGCCAACGGGGGCTTTGCATGGCAAAGGAGTTGAGTGATCGGCACTCTGAAGGGGGGGGGGGGATATTCAAGAGGAGGAGAAGGAACAGCAGCAGCAGTAGCAGCAGCAGAAGCGCATTTCAGAAGAGGAGGAGTGGCACGAGTTTCTCTTGCTGTAAGGTGAACAACCCATATGAGTGGGCAAACGACGAGGAGATCAGCGAAGCCCAGACCAGAATATGTCGCCATCGCATGGAGCAGTCGATCGAACAGGGTAGGAATCAGAAAAAGTTGTGCACGCGCATTGTATTTGCATTTGTTTTCAAATAAGATCCCCCACAGCTTGAACGCACGAGCCTTTGATTTCGAACGGGCCTGAGGAATTTCATCGGTGGCATGTCCGAGACGCGCGTCCAGAGGACATCCAAGGACAAATAGGGACATCAAAGGACATCCAAGGACAACTAGGGATATCAAAGGACATCCAGGGACATCCAGGGACATCCAGGGACATCTAGGGACATCCAGGGACATCTAGGGACATCCAGGGGCATACAGGGACACATTGGGACATCCAGGGACACCTGAGGACATCCAAGGACACCTCGGGACAGCCACGGACATGTACAGAAAATGGATATCCAGGGACACTGAAAGACATCCAAGGACACATGGGGATACCTAAGGACACCGCGGATCCCTGAAGATATGTAGCGGCATCTAAGGAGACCTCGGGACACTTAGGGACATCCGCGCGCACAGGCAAACATACAGAACACGTGGTGGCATACGGGTGTAGATATGTTTACCGATCCGGGGGCGCCGAAATCAGAGGATGCCTAAAGACAACCAGAGGCAACCACGAGCCCCGAAAACCAACCATGGACATCGTAACATAGTTCCTGAGGATAGATATGTGTAGGTATTGCACCAGGAACGTATCGTCATATAAGCCAGGCTACGCAACTATAAATATGTGCATGGAACCGTGGTTTTACCGCGTCACCCACGGCGCAGGTAAGCCGCGACTTGGATCATAAACATCAATCCACACATGAACATTGGTGCGGACGACACGCCGCCGCGCCGCAATGTATGCGCGAGCTTCAGGCTAATGGCGTCTTCAATTGTTACTTCCAGCCATCTCACGCAACGGCAGGGGGTCGCGAAACCTAGATGTTGAATTCTTCAGCGTCGGCCCTGGCTGCCTACATGATCAAAGAGCCTTAGATGGTCTGAAGGGCCCCGCAAGTGTTGTCGGCATACTCTTCTTGCTCGCTGAGCGAACCTCTCAGCTCTGCGTTCTTCTATGATTTGTCTTGCAGCGCTTGCCAATCGTCGTCGCCTTCTTGCTATGGCCCAGGCCTGCGCTCCCACAACCCCCATCGACGCCCTCCTCAGCATGCGGGTGTTAGGTCAGAGCTGAAGGTGCTGAAAGGTGTGGGGGGGAGACTTTCGCGATTGAATATGGTGTGGTGTTACGGTTTGGGTCAAGGATGTGTTCCGCGGTAGGTTGATTGGGATTAGGGCTGCGACTTGTTTATGACGAAGGTTTGGTTACGGTTGGGTCCGTGAGGTAAGCGATGTTAACGCTAGGGCACGTTGAAGCGTTACTTGAAAAGATTTGTTCGTGCTCGTTCGGGCAATTCCTAATTGGATTAACAGTGTACATCTAACTACGTCGGCCTTGGTGTGTTAGGTTCGGTTTACGTGGGTGGTGGGCATTGAAGTTGAGACATAGTGGATCGTACCATTCGCCTGATGTACCAAAACTCATGTAGCTCCAAGAAACTCTGTGCAATTCCATACTACTTATGATTACCATGAATAACTTATGATAAGTCAAGTAACTCACATGAAAGATGCAACCTCCCTCGCCAACCACGCGGATAGTACGGAAGGTGGAGGCCCAGGGAGAGGGAGGAGAGGGAGAGGGATAGAGACAGAGAGAGGGAGGAGAGGCAGGGGGTGGAGAGGGAGAGAAAGAGAGAGAGAGGGAGAGGCAGGGGGAGGAGAGGGAGGAGAGGGAGAGGGACGAGGGGCCTGGAACCCTGCCGAGCCTGGAGCGGCCGCGGGGCTCCTGCCCCGCTGGGGAGGCGGGGGCCACGGTGCTCCACACCCTCCTCCGCCAGGTCTTTGCCGGCCACGGCCGGGCCGCTCCTGGGCCCTGCTCGGTTCGGGGAGACGTGCGACTCGGGTACACCTCCTCCTCCTCCTCCTCCTCCTCCTCCTCCTCCTCCTCCTCCTCATCCTCCATTCCTCCTCCTCCTCCTGCGGGCGCTTGGCTCGGGTTGGCCTGACACGGCCATCACGAAAATGACGAGGCCCGGTCTGAAATTCGACGCGGGCTCCCGCTGCAAACGTTCCACGAAAACAGGAGCGTCAGAATCCAGGACGCGCTCGTCAACAAAACGGCGGCCAACCCGAGTCCTGGCGCACTCGAGTCTGACGTTTCCCCGATCGGTGCATGCGCCCTCCTGGCTCGGCCAGGGAGGCACGACCGATCCTGGGCCCGGCAGGATCGGCGAGGTCAGCAGCCGGCGTGACCCTGATCCCTCGATCCCGGGGCTGCTGAAGGCGTGTCCCTGGCCCCAGGTGCCCCCAGCTTGTCGCTCCATTCTGGAGCCCCTCGGGCCCCCTGTGACTACCTATGAACCAGACCACCCCAACCTAACCCGAAGACCCGAATGTCGGGTGGGGGGGGGTACGGGTTCCATAGGTGGTTTCTCAATATCCCCCGATCCCCCCCCCCCACACTGGAAAACGATTGTAAATGCGGGCCTTCGGGTTGGGTTGGGGTGGTTTGGTGGCTGGTGACCCTGGGCCTCGTGAGGGGTGCTCTTGAGGCCGTGGCAGGCTCCTTGGAAATCCTGGGGGCACCTTGGGCCAGGGGCACTTCTAGCAACCCCCGATCTGGGCAAGCACGCGGCGCTCTCTCCGGCGTCCTCCGAGACCAGCCCTCTGGGAAGTGGCACGCCCGAGAAAGGGGACGGAAGAGACGGGAAGGCGGATGCCCACTAGCAAACACGTAGTCCAGAACCGTCAGCGGCCGCCCGGGGAAGGCGACGTCCGCTCCAAATGAACAACGTCCGCGGAGGCACCGGCAACGCAGCCTGCTCAAGATAGACAGGAAGCCCAGACTCCCTCGCGGAATACAGATTAGCCTGACGAAGGACCCAACCATATGCACTCGCGAGGGAGATGAGATGGAGGAGGGAGCCCCAGCGGGGTCGAGAGGTCCAGGGGCCTTGCGTCGTGTAAAATTCCAGGGGCCTCGCGCAAGCGTCTCTTAATCGAAATGAGTCGCGGGGGCGCAGTAAACCCTGCCACTGCGGCCTTGCGTGGAGCTCCATATGGGGCCACGAACCGTGTGAGAGGTGTGCCAAAATGAGACGCGGGGACGCAGATTAACCCTGGCACTGGGGCCTTGCGGCCTTGCGTGGAGCTCCCTATGGGGCCACGAACCGTGCGAGGGGTGTGCCAAAATGAGTCGCTTGGACGCATGTAAACCCTGCCAATGGGGCCTTCGGCGGAGCAACCGTCTGAGGGGTGCGCCGAAATGAGTCGCGGGGGCGCATGTATACCCTGCCACTGGGGCCTTCGGAGGAGCTCCCTATGGGGCCACGAACCATGTGAGGGGTGTGCCGACATGGGTACGATGATGACGATGACGATGATGACGACGGTGTCGATGTCTATGACGATGACGAAGTTGACGACGACATAGACGACGATGACGACGACGACGACGACGACGACGACGAGGAGGAGGAGGAGGAGGAGGAGGAGGAGGAGGAGGAGGAGGAGGATGGGAGGAGGGAGGAGGGAGGAGGGCGGAGGGAGGAGGGAGGAGGGAGGAGGAGGAGGAGCAGGAGGAGGAGGAGGAGGATGAGAAGGATGGGTAGGAGGAGGAGAGGAGGTGGGACTCGGGACGCCGTCTCCTCAAAACAAGGACCCAACACCACAGGATGGTTGGGGAAAACATGGGGCGAACACGTTGCTATTTTCGGGCTCTTTAGGCTCTCGCTGGGGCCCGGGACAGTAAACAAAACGACTCAGGATAAAAAACCAGTCCCGGGGAAGGGGCCCAGACCTCTGGAGAGCCATGTCGTGATAGAAGCCATGGCGTCGGGGGTCTGGGGCTGCCGCTGGTGCTTGTCCCCGCCCTCTCCGTCCCCATCTCGATCCTGCCGAAGGGCGTGACCGACCCCCGCGTTCGCGCGGAAGCTGGCGCCCCGCCTGCGTGGCCGCAGGAGGAGAAGTTCTGCGCGCGCAGCTGCGCGGAGTAGTCCTGCCGCGTGGCCGTCGCCGTGGCCCCCGCCCCCGCCACCGGCGTCGCCGCCAGGAAGAACGAGTGTATACATGATACCAGGCCGCATGCCCTACGCCGTGGTCCCAGCCCCCGCCACCGGCGTCGCCGCCTGGAAGCACGAAGGTATACATGATACCTGGCCGCATATCCTACGTCGTGGTCCTCTTGAAGCCCGTTTCGGGCCTCGTGGTCAGCGAAGACCGGCCCTGAGAATGGGAGCGGCAGGCAGGCCCCTGGAGACGGGGTCGAGATGTTCCGGGGGCCCACGCCACGAGTACACCGTGACGCGGGAGGTCTGGGGAGGGCCTTGGCCGGGGCAGAGGGGGTATCCAGGCCTCCTCGAGCCGGATGTGGGATCAGATCTTGGTGGACATCTTCGCGGCCGTGGTCCCAGGCCCGCTCGCGGCCCATTTCGATGTATATTCTGGGTATGTACATGTATATATATATATATATATATATATATACATATATATACATGTACACAAACGCAAATATACACATACAGACAAGTACATGTATACCCGAGTCTGGGGCAGAGTCCCGCCCTTATCTGCTGAATCCCAGCCGCCCCACCATTACGACATCAGAACATGGCACCGACAATTGCATCGATAATTGCGCTGCCAGGCCTCGGGCTCGTCACTCTATGCTTCCCCATCACGTTCCTCATGACCTCCTTTCTCCCATTCTTGAGGAGGGACTTGCTCCTCCATGTTGGGTGGCAGCTCCTGAGAGGTTTTCGCAAGAACGAGTAAGTGGCATCAAGCTTGGTTAAGGGGCCATTCGGCCCGATCAGGCCTGATAGGGCCAGGTTGGAATGGGAGTAAGCTGGATTGAGCAGCACTAAGCCGAACCCAGCGGGATTCGGCAATATAAAAAAGGTTGATGCCAGATAAGGCCAGTTCCGCCAACATATCTAACAGCGCCGAGGAAAGGCCCCAGCATAGACGAGATAAGCTTACGTACCCAGCTCAAGTTTCATGGAGGCTCGTGCCCCTCCCCTTGCTGTGCCCGCTGAAGAGCCCACAGACGAGAACCAAGAGACGGCTCCCATCGACCCACCTCATGCGTAGGGAGTGGTTGGGGCCGTGAGCTGATTGGTCGCACCCGCAACGGCCTGGGGGAACGCGCGAGTGCACCCCCCCCTCCCGCGTCCCCCTGCCTCCCTTCTCCCCCCCCACATGCTCCCCTGTCCTGCTCCCTTCTCCTCCCTCCGCCTGCTGCCTCACTCCTGCTGCTTGCTTTCCTTCTCCCCCCCCGCCTGCTCACGCCCCCTCCCGCTCCCTCCTCCCGCTCCCGCCTGCCGCGTCGCGCCCCCCCCCTCCTGCTCCTCCACCTCCTCGGCCGCATTGGCGCGGTCCTCGGGCACGTGCCCCGGCCGCAGTTTGTCCACGAGCATTGCCGCGACGGCGTCCGTCCTCTGCCCCCCCCCCCCCGAGGGAGGGGAGGGGAGGGGAGGGAGGGCAGGGCAGGGGAGAGATAGGAGGCAGGGGAGGGAGAGCAGAGGCAGGCAGGGAAGAGAGAGGGGATTGGGGGAAGGGGGAGAGAGGAGGGGGGGAGGAGGAACGAGGAGGCGTGATGCCAGCTCTGAGCTGGAAGCGTAACGGCCGCGCCCTCGCCGCAATGAGCTCGGAGAATTGGCCTGGAGCAGAGGGCAAGCAACATCCTGCAGACCGTGGCCGCTGCGAGCTGGCAGGGAGTGGGGAGGGAAGGAGACGGGGGGGGAGGAGGAGAAGAAAGAAGAAGACGAAAAATAGTAAGAAGAAACATAGCAATAGGAAGAAGCATAATAAAGAAGAGAGGAGGAATTAATGAGGATGGAAGATTGAGGAGGGATGAGGAAAGAGCCTGGGCGGAATTGTTTGAGCTAGCCCCAGGAGGAAAGAACGTGAAGGAGGAGGAGGAGGAGGACCGAGCTTCAGCGGCAGATAGGAGCAGGGCCCCCCCCCCCCCCCCTAGTAGACCCTCCCCCTACACACACACACATCCACACACACACACACGCGCACGTGACACACACGCACGCATTTGTATCCTCCGACGCGCTCCTGACTGCAGCCGACGGAAGCATGGTAACGGGACGCGCTTACCACGAAATCGCATACTTGTGAAGGGACGTGGCAGGTGTGCAAGCCAGGACAGCGCGCTAGGGCGGCATCAGAGCACAACATGCGCGGTGCAGGGACGACGCGAGCGAAATTGCAGGGCCACGCGCACACACACACACACTTTGGCGTCGCGGCCCCGCTCGCAGCGACAGGGCGGAGAAGGCCGTAGAGCAGCAAACGCGCGCGCGCGACTAACGCCCGAGCCCTCAGAGACCATCTAGGGTCTCGCACGCACACGCGCTCACGCACACACAGACACACACACACACACACACACGCACAAACACACAATCAGCGTCGGGCCCCCGCCCCCGCGCGCAGCAACATGGCTGAGCCGGGCGGGCACACGCGCACGCCTGCCTACGCCAATACAGTCTCCGCGCCAGGTTAGGTCGAAATCTATACCCCCCGGTGGACATACCAAGCAGGTGCAATCCGAAGCTCAGCTCGCTGCTGGCCGTTAGGCCCGAATACGTGGCTGGTCGCACAATGCCCAGCCACCCAGGAACGCCATCCCTCCTCCTCCTCCTCCTCCTCCTCCTTCCTCCTTCCTCCTCCTTCTCCTCCTCCTCCTGCTCCTCCTCCTCCGTCCTCTTGGATGAGGATTGGACAACCCCCTCGCGAGAGGAAGGGTCGCGCCAGGGCCTACGTATGGCCTGACCGACAAGCAAGGATCGCGACACGTCGTTTTGCAAAGGCTTCTCATGGGATGTGTCTCCGCATCGACTTTCTTCCCTGGCGGGGGCAATGCGAAAGAGAAGTGTAACTTCGAGGGCGAGAGGGAGGAGTACTGAGGCTTCCAATGTTTCCGAATGTCCACTTCCACAACGCTTTTCTGACATGTCGAACCTGTTTTTATGTCTTCGGAGGTGCTCGGAATTCTTGATTCACAATATATGTCTCACATGCAATCACCCAAACAAGAGACACCCGCTGAGTTGTCGAAGTCACTCCCTGTGTTGGCATGTCTTGGCTCGCAGGCAGCCACCACAAAAGTGTCGACGAAAACTGCAGGATCAGAAAGACAAAGGGGAGGAAGACGGAGTGCAGGAGCGAGAGCAAGGAGATGATCTGACGTTTTCTCTGATGCTTGCCGGCTGCTCACAAAGGCTTCCCCAACTTTCCCGCTGCGGAGAGCGGGATGAGGAGCATGAGGGCAGGAGCAGCAGAAGGCGGCTGCTAACAGGAGCGAAGAAAGCAATGGCAGACACAGGGGCGAATGCGGGCATGAACAGCCCGGGATGACCGGCGTGACCGCCTGCCTCTGCCCTGTCTGCCTGCGCCACACCAAGAAACCCAGCAGGCAGCAGGACACTCGAGATCTCGCGCGGGTCGGGGGGGCCTGTCGAGCATGGCACGGCTCAGGGCTGCGCACGTAGGGTGATTGATCTCTCTCTCTCTCTATCTCCTTTTCTATGTACAGATTCACCCACTGCCCCTGGACAGGCCCATCCTGAGACCAGGAGCGGTGTCCTCACCCTCCTGGCGTGGCCAGGGAGGCGTGGACTCTGTGTGGGCCTGCCCAGGCGCAGTGGACGTGTGCCCGTAGACCTCGTGGCCCGCGCACAGGCCGCACCCCTGAAGGCAACGCCGGCTGGCCTCCGAGAGGCACGCGGGGGCGGCGTGGGGCGACCCTGGGCACCCCAGTGCGGGGCGCTGCCCCGGGGCCACCCCAGAGGCCTTGGGAGAGGACGCATCGGCGCGAGCACAACACCTTGCGACCGGCGGCGAGCTGGATCTGGCAAGCGGTCGGCTGTCGGCGGGGCGCGTCGGAAGCGAATCGGGCACCGAGGGGCGGGGAGGGCGGGAGGGGAAGAAGGGGAGGGCCGCGAGACGGCCGGGGCAACCCTCAGAACGTGAAGAACTTCGGGATGTGCCGAGGTCGGGCTCAAGCTCTCGACCCTGTGAGGAAAACATAAACACAAACTTTCGGATGTCCACTCGGATCTCTAAGATCGGCGCTGGTCCCCCCCCTAGCGCGCGCAGCGCGCCAGAGGCGGCGCAAGAGGAGCCGCTAGTGGGGGGTGGGCAGCAACGACTCAATGCAAATCTGCGCGGACCTACGACAACTTATGTTGATGCAGATGTTTCGTCTTCGAGGCCTGTTGGTCGGGCCAGCCTGGACCACCTCCGTGCCTGCCAAACGGGGGGAGCGGGGGGATCCCGGGCATCTCCCTCGCGCCCCTCCTGGCATTCAGCGCCTCGTGCAGCGGGTGCGTCGTGCCATTGCTGAGCATCAGCGGGCTGCAGCACACCTCCCGCCCCGTTTGTCTTACCCCCCCCCTTCCTCGACGCGCGAATTCGGGGATGGACAGAACCCCCTTTAGCAAAACGTGGTTTAGTGAAAACGACCTCGGGCTCGAACCTGGCGGCCGCAGGCCAAGAAAATGACGGCCGCGGCGCCCTCTCGAAAACCAGAGACGGAAAATTCACCAAGCGACGTGTCAGGGTAGGGGCACTGCCCACCCCCGACGAATAATCCTCGCCCCCGATGGCTCCAGAACTCAGCCCAAGACGCCGGGAGGCCGCTGCGCAGACGGCCCCAGGCCAAGAGCGCAACCAGGACGCACGCAGCGACAGCAACGGCGCCCGTGGCGAAGGCCCGCGGCGCCTCCGAGACAGCCCAGGCGGTCCAGGGCCCCACGCCGTGGGCCGTCCGCCGAGGGCGCGGGCTGCGGGCTCGCAGTCGAAACGCTGCCACAAGGAACCCAAAGCAAGGAACGAGGCAACTTCTTTCCCACGAGTGGAACTTCCACCGGCGGCCTAAGGGCAACCTGAGACAAACTAAGGGCAAAGGGCTAAGGGTTTTTTCCCATCGGCGGCCTAAGGGCATCCTGAGACAAACTGCGCAGCAATTCAGGAGCACGGGTCCCCTACCCAACGGAAAGGGTTCGTTCTTCAGCGGCCCGACTATGAGAGTCTCCGTGCTGCGCACAGGGGGCACCACAGCCATCCGATGAGACAAGGTCCCCCGTCGGTGGCAACTCATGGCAACTTCCCATGACATAGTGTTGGTTCTTGCGGATCGACGGTCGTCGACGTTAAATCGACCCTGGTTGACGCTACATCGGCGCTGTCTGATCGACTACCAGACGCTGGTCGATGCGAATACCTTGAAAGACGGGATTGCGAGGATATACCAGATTATACCAAAGAAAAACCAACGCAAAGTCTTTGTTGTTTTACCAGGACATGATTTGTTGTTGCGCCTCTTGGACGACGAGGGCGATGGAGGTGAGGACACCAACGTACCACTTTCGAAGGCCTATGAGGTCGATTCGATCTACTAGGCCTATTGGAGCTGTAAAGCTATGGGGGTATAGGGCTATAGAGCTATAGGGCTAGGGGACTCTTGGGCTATAGGGCTAGAGGACTATGGATGTATAGGGCTATGGGGCTATGGGGCTCGATTGCTATGGGGCTGTAGGGCGCTATATGGTTATAGGGCTATAGGGCTACAAAGAAATAGGGCTATATGGTTATGGTGCTATGGGGCTTTACGGTTCTATGGCTATAGGGATGTGCGCCGCCCGATCTATTTCTTGCCAGAGCGCAGATCTGGTGAGAGCGAGGGCAATTGCCAGACGGCCTCGAGGGGCTTCGCGATCGAGGCTGAGCATTCAACAGAAAACGGGGCCAACGGCACGTGCGCGCAAACATGACAGTGGAGGAGGAGGGGAGGAGGGGGACTTGAGCAAAGACGGCGATGGAACGGACGCGTCGGGGCCCATCCCATCTACAGGCGGCTTGCATTTAGGGCGTGCACAGCTGTTTGGAAAACGTTTCAATGCACCGCCCGAACTATTTCTCGCCAGAGCGCAGATCTGGTAAGAGCGAGGGCAATTGCCAGACGGCCTCGAGGGGCTTGGCGATCGAGGCCGAGCATTCAACAGAAAACGAGGCCCATAGCCCATACTGGATGCCTGGTAGCCGCCATCCCAGCCACACAGATCGCATACGTAGGCGGAGGTGCACATTGACGAGAAACGAAGTTAGCAAGACGGAAAGACAGACGACGCTCGGCAGAGCGGTGGATCCAGAGGCCAGCGGCAGCGGCGACAGAGGCGGGGCACGGCTCAGCGATGGCAGTCCATCGTTTGCCACCGGGCCCCCCGCCTTCCAATTACATATGCTTGAGATGGGTCTTGCTGCAGAGACCGCCTCGCCCTTGGCACCTGCGTAGCAAGGGCTGGGGCGGGGCGCAAGTGCACCATCCGCGGAAACGAATTGCTTTTCTCCATCTGGTGCCGCGCTGACAGAAATCGACATTGGCGTCTTTACAGGAGGAGCGGGAAAGAAACAGCATGCGAGGGTGCAACCACATCATAGACGATCGAGGGTTCTCGAGCAAGAAAGGGGTCCCGAGACGCTTGCATTCGAGACCAGTCCACCTGGCAAAATGGAAAGTGGCATTGCCTTTGCGCAGCCTAGCAGCAGCTTTGCCCTGTAGGCTGGGCAGGCCGTTCAAGGCATAGGGCGAGCGGTAACAATGTCGCGAGGCCTGGGACCAAGTTCTGCAAGGCGGTGCACACATGACGCCTCGCACGATCCGTGACCTCAGCCAGCCTGTCACGATGGCGCCGCGCACGCGCCGCGAGAGGTCGAAGGCGGGATGGGCGGCCACGTCGATCCGCAGGACCGCGTAGCCTGATTTTCGCTCCAGCCAGCTCGCGACCTTGCCAGTGCCACTGAAAAAGGTCCAGGTGCACTTGGTATCTCGGGGAGCCAGCGAGGGCCGCCCGCAGCGCGGCGCGCCAGTGCCGCCGCACGGCCGCGTTGGTCAAGGCCTCGGCCGCGCCGCCGGCGTCGCCGCCCCGCCAGCACCGCCCAGAGCGGAGGGCGGCGCGCGAGCCCGCAGCGGCGGCGGCAGCGGCGCCCAGCCCCGCAGCAGGTCGGCCGTCTTGGCGCCCACCTCTCGACCGAACTGCATGACCCTCGGGCTCAGCTTGCCTACCTCCGCGACGTACTCGGCGTGCCGGGCGTATACCTCTCCGTCGAGCTGTGCCACGGCAGGGCCAGGTTGTCCGCCAGCTTATCGCCCAGCATTGCCGCGCGGGTCGAGGCCCCGCCGTGGCGCGCTAGGGCCGGGTGGTAGTCCTGGTGGCCCAGCTGGTCGAAACCCGCCCTGAACTTGGAGCTGAAAGCCGCCGTGTCCGAGTCCCAGAGCGGCTGGCGGTCCGTGTGGGCACGGAACAGCCTGGCCAGCTCGAACCCGAGCGCGGAGGACATCTCGTCCGACAGGACGACGCCCTCGTCGCAGCCCAGGGTCTTGCTGACCTCGTGGAGTTCTTCTGGGAACAGCGGGGGGCTCCACATAGCACGACCTGAATGAGGGGCGGGCGCGACCAAGGTCGCCCGCGTCACCGTCATGAGCTCGCTTGGCAGCCAATCCGTCGCGTCCCCGCTGGGGGCTAGGGCGACGGCGAAGCTGCGCCAACCTCGGTGCAGAGCAATGCCCACGCCCACGAACAGCGGCTCCATCGCCATGGGGGCCTTGACCCCCTGAGGTGGTAGTGGCCCTGCCAGAACAGGAAATAGAGGTACTGGGCGAAGCTTGAGTTGATTGCCCGTGCCCAGAGTGTCGAGGGCCCCCTCGATCGAGCCCAGCCCACAAAGTCCAGGTACTCCTTCTGGGAATGGACCCGCGATGCACTGCCGACCTCCAGGCTCTGCAAGACCGTGACCCCCTCGGCCTGGGCTCGCTCGCGCGCGCGGCTGCGGGCTGACCGGCGCGCTGCCGCTCTGGCCAGGCGGGGGGGCCCGACCCTCGCTGGTGGCGGCCTCGGACTGCCCGTCACCGAGGACCTCGGAATTCTAAGTCGAGGAGCTGTCGGAGTCCGCGTCGCCGCCGCCCGGCCCGCCGAAGAGGCCCGCGAGCCCACCGAGCGGGCGGGGATCGTCATGGAGTGCGTCCCCGAGCCCGGCCACGCCAGGACCGCTGAGGTCGGCGGGCTGCGGCTCTGGGGTCGGGCTGCCGCGGCAGTGGCGCCTCCGCACAAGCGCGCCAACGTCCCGCCATAGGGCCTGATGACCGCTTGGGCCGTCCGCCGCACCTCCGAGATAAGCAGCATGCCGGGGGTCAGCGCGGGCGTCCCGTGTGCGATTGAGCCTGAGCCGAGAGGGCCTGTCCGCGGGGTTCCACTCCGAGGGAACCCATCTGAGAATGAACGCGGTGTCGGTGACAATGGAGATGGCGCGCAACTGCTGCAAGACGTGATTGAGAGTGATGGAAGGAGAGCGCCCTTTCCCAACCGCGAGGGCAAGCCGGAGGTTGTCGACCAGAATGAGATGCCGATGGCCGTGCCCGCTGCGCCCTCGCACAGCGAGCCGCGCGGCCATCACCGCCGCCCAGCCTTCCAGCACTGTGATGTCCTCATCGCGCTGGAACTCGCCATGGAAAAAGGACTCCCCAATCACTGAAGTCCCCGATCGCAGCCCGTCCGACACCCTCGAAGCTGGCGGAGCCAGCGCACGCCCGGTGCCGGCCGACCTTGGCCCCCTCGACCGGGTCGGCGCCCAGGGCGCGCCCCCTGGCACCGATGGCGTCCAGCGCCGAATATCGCCACGGCTCGGCTGACGCCGCGGCGTGCTCCACGAGCTCGTTGGCCCAGGTCTGGCCCACCGCGCCGTGGCCGCCTCCCGAGCCGGCTTGGCCCCTGGAGGCGTCGGGGACGTACGCAAAGGTGCTGTTGGGCTTCTTAAGGCGAAGACCAGGCGCGCGGCCGCCTGCCGCAGCTCGAGCTCCACGCGGCTCCACAGCCGCAGCCGGCGGCGCCCAGCAACCCGGGCAAAGACGTAGGTCTGTTGAAATATACTAAGGAGCGGCCGCCTCAGCAAGGCGGCCCAAGTGAAGTGTCCGAGCAGGCTGAAGATCTCGCCCCCGGTGGCCGAGCGCCGGTCCGCCACGAAAAGCAGCGCGAGGCGAACTCTCCACGTCCGAGCCGCACTGATCCCGATGCGGCCACTGCGCCTCTCGAAGGTGATTCCCGCGAAGGTCTGCAGGTCCTCTGGCTCCATCGCGCCCTTGCACTTCAGGCCGGCCTCCTCCAGCTTGCCGACGACGGCGCTATAGTCAGCAACGCAGCGGTCGCCGTCGCAACCGACGATGCACACGTTGTCCACGTGCACGCTGGGTTGAGTGGATGTGGCGCGGACCTGGAGGGGGGCATGCCGGTCCTTGATCAGTGGCCCGGCGTCGATCCCTGACCGCAACGCGGTGGCCCCCAGCAGCCTCTGTCAAAAGTAACGGCTCCACGACCGCCCCATGGGCAAGACCTGCAGGAGAGGGGGGCCGAAGCGGGACTCGGGCAGGTCCATGATGATCCCCGCCTCATCGGCTAGCTGTCGGAGCGTGCCAAAGTGTACACTGGGCAAAGAGAAGTGTTCGTCCATCTTGTCCGGGAGCTTCACCCGGTAAAAGGCATCATTGTCCACGTCGGCCTGGGCCACGCTAAGAGAAGAGGACGACTCTGTACGCAGCGCGGCCCAGGCTGCCGCGCTCGGCAGCAGAGAGTGATCGGGGTCGTGAAAACGTGCATTGACTCGACGCGTGTCGAAGATGAGCCGGAGGCGCTGCCGTCCGCTCTTCCAAACGCAGAAGACGCCCACCGTGGCGCTGCGCTTAGCCCAGACTCTGATGAGGCCGGAGGGTGTGCAGGTCCAGGATGAACTGAGCAAAGCGCCGCCTGTCCGCCATGGGGATGCGATCGTCGTGCAGCTTGATATCGTGATCTGGTGCAGGCGTTCGGCGCAACAAATGTCTCTCCCAATGTGCCCACTGATCGTGCTCGAGGCCGTGCAAGACGTGGCTGGGGTCGCTGCGCGCGCCTGGCCCCGGCAGGGAGAGGATCTCCCTCTGGTACTGGGCTGGTTGCTCGGGCTCGGTGTCGTAGCCCGGCTGGCGGCCGCACAGCTCCGCATGGGCTGCCGCGGGTGAGCAAGGGGGGGGGCCCGCCTGCTCGATGATTGACTGCATGAATTCCAAGCTACGTTGCTGCCCAGCTGAAACGGAAAAAATGATCTCGGGCGCCGCCGTGACCGCGCAAGGGGTTCAAGCTCTCGGCCGCGTCGGCGATCCAGTTCGCGACGCGCAGGCGGCGGCGCACTCTCGATCGCACCGCTCTCGACAGCCCAGCGGGGCCGCCGGCGCCTCGCGCCGCCGCAAAGCCGCTCAAGGGCAGCAGCTCGCGGGGCGCGAGACCAGGTGGCCGCGTCATTGGCCCCGGCCGGCCCCTCGGCCGGCCGCCTGGTCCTTCCCTGCACCTTCGTCCTGGAACTTCTTCTGCTCGGCGGCCGGTTGCCGAATCTTCCTGCGCAACTCCGCCTTGGATCCTTCCGAGCCTGCAACGCCTCCGCCGCCTCCACTACGTGAGAGCGGCCTCTCCTCCTTGGCCATGCGCCGCTCCTCCACCAGGTCATCCCTCGGGGCGGCCGCGAGCCGGTCGCGGTGGCGCCACTCGGCCATCTGGGCCTTCCTCATCAGCGGCTGGAACGGGGCCAGCTTCCCGAGGTTCAGCTCGTCGAAACTGGGGCCCAGCTCCGCCAAGCGCATCGCGAGGTCGTGATCCCCGACGCTCTCGTCCGTCGCCTCCAGCCGGCACTCGTCCACCCACTTCGTGAGGCGGGCGCGCGGGTGCTGGACAAGGCGCGCCAGAAACTCCAGGCGCCGGGAGGCAGTCCTCGGGCTCGTGATGGGCCACTCGGTCCGCTCCGTGGCGGCGACCTGCCGCGCGGCCTCCATGGAGTGCCGGTGCCGACTGCCGTCCGAGCGCGTCTGAATGTCCGGCATCCGCGCGCCCGTCTCGAGCTCTGTGCCTGGGGCGGCAGGGTCCACGGCCTTGGCAAGCAGGCATTCCCTCCCCTTGGCCGCGGTGTAATCCTTATCCACGATCAGGTAACCGTCGAAGTCTTTGTGCCTCACGGCCTGGCGCAGCTGGGTAGCATCCTCGGCCGACAGAGTGAACCAGCAGAGTCCACCTGCGTCGGGCAAGGCACCCAGGCCCACAAGCCACCTCGGGTAGAGCACCACTACCACGCTAGTTGCCGCCGCTGCAGCTGGAGACGACATGAAGGACGTCTTCCCCTCCGTACGCCTGGACGGCTTCTCGACATCGGGCACCGACAAGCACCGTGGCCTCATCGCCTCCGGCGCCGCGCAGACCTCGAGCTCGGTCGGCTCCCAGTCGTCGCTGCAAGCCGCACTCGCTGCCCTCCACCGGTTCCCAAACTCCGACTCCGAGAACAGCGTCCCGCTGCTCGGCAACGCCACGAAGCCGAAGAGCCGGGTCTCCGACAGGCTGTGAGAGTACACGTCCAGGTCGGGGGTGAGGGCGTACCACCCTCGGCGACTGGCGATCTCCTCCTTGAAGAACCCGACGATCGCACTCACGATCACCAGCGCTCGGATACTTACGAATGAACACGCGGCAAGAGCACGGTCGGACGACTCCTCGGCGAGCAATCCGAGGCCCACTCCCAGAGAGTCGAGTTCGGCGGGGCCGCCCCGCGCCGCTCTGCCCCAGGAACCGAGAATACCCATACAGGCTGGGATGGCGGTGCCGCCCGAAAAACTTGAGCAAAGACGGCGATGGAACGGACACGTCGGGGCCCATCCCATCTACAGGCGGCTTGCATTTAGGGCGTGCACAGCTGTTTGGAAAACGTTTCAATAGGGCTATAGGGCTATAGGGCTATGGGGCTATAGGGCGGTAGGGCTATAGGCCTATGGGGCTATGGGGCAACGGGGCTATAGGACTATAGGGCTATATGGCTATAGGGCACCCGGGCACCCGGGCACCCGGGCGGGCCGCCGAAATCGGCGACGCAACGCCCGGGCACCCGGGCACCAAGGCGTGTCGCCGAAATCGGCGACGCAGCTAAACTAACCGTATGAACCCGCTGAAACCCCTGCAGAGGCGAGCTCAGATTGGGGAACCTCCCATGGTTCCCTACCGAAGATTCCCACCCCTGCTCGAGGCCAGCATCCGGGGAAGAGCGATGGACAAACTTCTGGCTTCGCAATCATTACGTCTACTCGCGAGTACGCGCGCAGTTCCCCATCCTCCGGCCTCGCATCTCCGCTGAACGGGAGGTCCGCGGGACGGCGCGACGCCCCCCAACAGAAGGGATGCGCGCTCTCCCCTGGGCATTTCAAGGCCCCGCCAGTGTGGGCCAAACCCTGGACAAAAAACGGGGGAACTAAAAGGCCAAAGCAAATATCCCACGCCTCTTCGATCGTCTTCCTCCTCCTCCTCCTCCTCCTCCTCCTCCTCCTCCTCGTCATCTGACGCCCTCCTTCCCTCTTTTTCATAATTCTTATGCTGCTGCTTGCCCCTCCCCCTTTTCCTCCTCCTCCTCCTCCGCCTCCTCCTCCTCTTCCCCTCCGTCCATCCCTCGCTCGACGACGTACACTCCCTCCTAACCCAGACCCTCTAACGACCAAGCCCCAGCCCGGTGGTCTGGCTTTCATGTACGACTCTCCTGGGATAATTTGGTCCCGCCACCCCAGAGAGGCGAGTTAAACATCCGTCAGTCCCCGCTCCTCTTCCTGAGGCTGTCCCCCTTGCTGTTACTGTTTCCTCTTTTCATCCGTCCCCCCATTCCACACCGTCCCCTTCTCGTAACTATCGGCTTTTGTCCACAAGTCTCCGCCACAGCGTTTCCCTCCTCGCTTCAAAGCCGCCACATCCTCGCACACATCGTTGTCATTATGTTTTCTCCTCAGTTTATGTTTGTTCTCCACCGAACACACCCCTCTTGTCGTCACTCAAACCATTGAACACCATGGGACTCTCTGCCCCCCTGACTGACAATCTTTTTGTTTCCCATCCTCCTCCGGCGTGGCCAGAGTCCGCCAATAGTGGTGGCGTTCGAACTGGTCGGAACAAGTCCAGATTGGAACGCCTTTCGCTGATCACGAAAGAGAAGGAGGGAAGCGAGGAGGGGGGGGGGGGCGAGGGACCAGAGGGGGGGGCTGGAGGAAGTGCACGAAACGCCGAGTCTGGAAGAACTCAACAGAAAATTGGTGGAACCCCCACCATTTCGCAAATGCGTCCTATTCTTTCGCCAAGCAAGTGGCATCCACTGGCGATCGAACATGTTCCTTGCTCACCTGTGTTGACGCAAGGGGTCCTCATGTGGATATTGCAAATGGATGGTTCTTTATCGCCGTCGTACGAGATGACGGTGATTACCTGGTAAGCAAAATAACATGCTCTGATCACGGTGCGCACGCACTAGAGAGGGACGCGCATCCGTTGCCTGCGAAAACGCAAGCAGCGTCCGACCCCCACAAGCAGCTTACGCCAGACGCGCGCAGGAGCGCGCGGATGGATGCTTGAAAGGGAAGCGGAGGGAGCGATGGCAAGGACCCCCCACCGCGGCAGGCACCAGAGCTAAGTCGCCCCACGCGCAAGCCTTCAGCACACCTCGTCAGGGAGCGCCAGACCCTACAACAAGTTACAATGCCACCCGTCCGAATAGTTCTTACTCCTGCTGCAGAGGTGAAGTCTCGGTTGCTCGACGTAGCGCCAGAATTCATTTGACACACCCACGGGCGCCCCCGACAGTCTCAAGGTCGCGCTTCGACCCCAACTACCTTGAGATGCCTTCCCAACATCTACTCGACTCGCATTCCAGGGGCTGCCCAACCACTGGTCACTTCCCGAACTCTATGTCCCTTCGCTGAGATCAGGACCGTCGTGTCACCGATCGTCGGTCGACTGTCCAACAATACTGCCTCCACGACGTTTTCCCGCTTATCCACCAGGGGCCCGACTCATCCCACCGATTCCGGGAGGATGAGGTAACCCTCTTGCCGCGGCGCCCATCATAACCTTGCTCCTTCCCTTCTTTCAGGAGGACGGCATTTTCCAGCGAGGCCATCTTCGGTGGCATGCGTTCGCCACCGTTTGCCACTATTACATTTCGCCGCCGCGGGTCCGTGACCATGGTCGCCTTGACCAGCCCCAGATCTGCCGCGGTCGTCATAGCGCGTGCGAGGCGCTTCCCATATGCGGCCAGAATAGTTGCCCCGCTCACTTCCACGGGCAAAAAAGTCGGACGTCGCGGCAACACCGTGATCTTCCGCGCCAGCTGTCTCCCGCCTGCGGCGTCCAGCCCACTTCGATTCAGTTCTATTGGACGGGCTCGGGCAGCACGGGATTCTGTTTCAGCGTCTCTCACTCCTTTCCCATCAGACTCAGCCCCTGAAATCATCTGTGACCAGTCTACCACACCTTCCCGAGATTCGGCCCCTGTGTTTTTCATCGTCATGAGAATTGCCGCCGCAGTCAGACTCATTCCGACCTTAATTAAAGTACGAGCATCACCAGATGCCTCGTTATCATTGAGTTTCCAACCTTTGCTAAGGGCATCCCAAACACGTTCGGTTGTGTTAAGTCGTATATCAAATCCCTTCGTTACGGACACAACATCCGCCTCAAGGGCGCGTTTGCCCCTCCAAATCTCGCCATGCGTACCCTGCAGGTGACGGCCAAAGCGCTCCCGGAACGGCCCTTTCAACGTCATCTCCGTCGAACATGTCGACGGGGATACAACAGTTCTTCGATGCTTCGACTGTCGCAAACTTAGCGTAGCGCTTGAACCAGCCCCTCTCTTCGGGGTGCCATGGCTTGCGTTGCGCCTCAAAACTCGGCTTCACCCACCCTCGCCCGCTCCTCAAAGGCCCCTTCGGGTCTTCGGCCGCCAGCTGCGCATCAGACAAGTATTCTACCTGTGTCACTTCCCTTCGACGTCTGTCGAGATAAGGTCCCAAACACTTGCGCCGGGCACCTGGGGCGCCGCAGCGAGCAAACATGTGCAATCCGTCCGCGCGCAGCTTGGCTGCGAACCCCACCCCGGAAGCAACTGCTGCTCGGCCCAAGCCCGAGCGGCGGTCGCTGCCAGGGAACGGCTTGCGCCAGCCGGGGCCTTTGATAGCAGCGATGCCTAGGAGCGCCAAGGCGAGCGCGAAGACGGAGTAGTGGCTCGTCGCGGGCCCCCCGTCAGCGCCCGCCGCCTGCCGCCGCCCAGCCCAGCAAGCAGCTCCAGCGCCTGGCACCGGCGCCCTTTCCAGCCAGCAGCAGCACCGCGCGAAACAGCACCGCCGCCATCAGCAGTTCCACTAGAAAGAACACGACGGGAAACAGCAGCGCCAAGTTCTTCGCGCTGGACTGCGCCAGCGCCCTCACCCCCGCGGGCCGGGCTGGTCGTGGGGGGAGTTGTTCCCGTGCTCTCCACCGCAAAGCGTCGCGGCCGGTTTTTGTTCGATTTTGCGCTGGGCACCGCGGGCGCCCCAGAGCAGAACCGACAGCAGGTCCCAGAAGCGCCGGCTGCTCACCCCTCGCGCCGCAACTCCAGTTCACTGGCGGAGATGCGCACGACGACCCGCAGCGAATCGGTCGTGCAGCTGCAGCGCGAGGGAAACGATCAGTTCCACTGAAAGCCAGCAGCAGCAGCAGCAGCACAAGCGCCACAAGTAGCACATTTGTGAGTAGCAAGACAAAGAGAAACACCCCTACGCGCAACAGCACCACTGCCACCTGCAGTAACTACCATTACGCCGAAGAGCGCCAAAAACAGCAAGATCACGCGAATCAGCATCAACGCCGCCAGCAGCAGTAGCGCGAGCAACACGAGCACCACCAGTAGTACCTCACATGCCAACACGACAGCAAACAGCATCACCAAGCGCAGCAGCACCAGCGCCACCAGCATCACCAATGTGACGAGCACCGCGGGAAACAGCAGCGCGACATGCAGAAGCGCAACCAGCAACACCTGATTGACCAGCCCAACGGGAACAAGTGGTACGACGCGCGCGAGCTCTCGCGCAACCAGTAGAACCACCGCGAATAACACTACAGCAGCATCGGCGCCGCGGCCCTCAGGACGCCTCCAAGACTCCAGCCAGACGCGACTTGGGAAACGCGGGTCGGGGTGGTCCTCCTCCCCCGCGTTCGGCCTCCAGCCTCGAGCCTCGACCCTCCACGACGACGACGACGCCGGCGGGCGGCGGCGATGGGCGGCGGCGGCGGCGACGACGACGACGACGACAAAGGCGCTGCTCATCGCTCCTCATCCCCCTCCTCCTTCCTCCTCCTCCTCCTCCTCCTCTTACTCCTCCTCCTCCTCCTCCTCCTCCTCCTCCTCCTCCTCCTCCTCCTCCTCCTCCTCCTCCTCCTCCGGTCCAATGGGAAAAGAAATGGAAAGAGAACCGCCACAAGAAAGTGTTCCTTCACGCCCGTGTCCGCAACGCCAGAGGACATCAGGACGATAACAGAGCCAATGTTAGCATTCAAAGCCCGCCACCCTCCGACACGAGGGATCCCCTATCGCATGTCTCTTCCCCCGGCTCGAACGGCCCCACAGCGGGATACCACGGGTAACACGCCCCCACGATGGCACCAAAGCCGTCAAAAAACTGCAAACACCTAGAAGCCCCATGAAAAAACATCAACAAATTTATCGACAACTACACAGCTCCCGACGCCGCAGCTCCACACTGCAAACGACCACTCGGGCAGGCGACCACGGTGCGACATTATGGGCCGGCGGAATGAGCGAAGCGATTAAATAACACTACAGCAGCATCGGCGCCGCTACCAGAAGTAGCGCGAGCAACAAAAGGCCAGTCATGGGTACTTTTTAAGGTCAGCACGGTGGCAAACAGCACAACCACACGCACACACACACAGAGCAATACCAGTATGACGACCGCGAGGAGGAGCAGGAACACCACATGAAACATCATCAACGCCGCCAGCACCACCACTGCAACGAGGACGACAGCAAAGAGCGGCACCAAGCGCAGCAGCACGAGCGCCACCAGAAGCACCGCTGCGACAAGCACGCCGGGAAGCAGCGGCGCCACGCGAGGCGACACCAGCGCCACCAGCACTTCCACCAGAACGAGCACGACGGGAACCAGCAGCACCAGGCGATTCGGGCTGGACTGCGCGAGCTACCCCACTTCCCCCCCGCCGGCCAGCCCAGCGGAGGGGAAGCGTTCCCGTGCTCCAGCGCAAAGCGCCACGGCCGTGATCTTTCGATTTTGCGATGGACACCAGGGGGCGCCCCAGAGCAAAGATATGCGCAACCCGTCCACGCGAAGCTTGGCTGGGAGCTGGTGCGCAGCTCACCCCAGGAGCAACTGCTGCTCTGCCCAAGCCCGACTGGCAACCATTCCCAAATGGAAGGCTTGTGCCAGCCGGGGCCTATAATAGCAGCGCTACCCAGGAGCGCCAGGGCAAGCGCGACGACAAGGTAGTGGTTGGTCGTGGGCCCCCCGTCAGCGCGCGCCACCTGCCGCCGCCCGTCCCGGCCAGCTGGCCCAGCGCCCAGCACTGGCGCACTGGCCGGCCAGCGTTGGTGCCTAACCTGGCCAGCAGCGGGCCCTGGGCGGCCGCCGCGCTGCCGGCGTCGCCATTGGCCGCTGCGGCGGCTGCGGGCCGCCACGCGGGAGTGTAGCAAGAGCAGCGCGAGCGCGCAACGAGCTATTCCACTGTGGCCAGCACAACAGGAAACAACTGCACCACTCACAGCAGCACCAGCGCCACCAGCAGTGCCTGTACGTGTAGCACGCATCAGCACCAGCGCCACCAGCAGCACCAGTGCGACCAGCACGACAGGAACCAGCAGCACCACCAGCAGCGGCACGAGAGCCACCAGCAGCACTGCAATAATGTGCGCCACTGGTGGCACCTCTGTGACCATCACGACAGTAGAGCCACAACATGTAGCACTGTGGCGATCAAGACGGGAAGCAGCAGCGCCACCCTCAGCACTACTAGCGCCACCAGCAGCACCAGCGCTACCAAAACACGACAGGAAGCAGCAGCACCACGCCCCCGGCAATAACGCAACCAGCAGATCCAGCGTCACCAGTACAGCGGTAATCAGCAGCACAAGCGCAACGAGCAGTACCAGTGACCAGCACGACGGGAAGCAGCAGCGACAAGCGCAGCAGCACGAACGCTACCAGCAGCACGAATGCCACCAGCACGAACGCCACCAGCAGCAGGACGGGGAATAGCAAACTACGCGCACCAGCACGAGCGCAACGAGCAGTGCCAGTGTGACGAGCATAACCAGAAGCAGCAGCTTTACGCGAAGCAGCACCAGTGTAACCGGCACGAAGGGAAGCCGCAGCACAACAGCACAACGAGTACCACTACCAGCGCCACCAGCAGCACCACTGCGACCAGCCCGACGGGAAACCACAGCACTGATTACGCGCACAAACACACATGCAACGAGGAGAACTAGAGTGAGGAGCATCATCGGAAGGAGCACCACTGTCACCAACACGACGGAAATCAGCAGCACCATATGCTGCACTACTAGCGGCACCAGCAGCACCAGTCTGACCAGCACTACGACAACCAGTAGCACAACTCGAAGAAGCCCAAGCGAAGAAGCCCTAGCGGCACCTTAGCGCCAAACTGGCCGCGGATGGGGCCGCGAACCAAGAGTGCGCAGCCCACAAGCTTGTGAGGGTCGGTCTTTCCCTCCGGCGAGGATGGCGTTCGCAATCAAGATGTCGCGGGCGCACCAACGATGGTACAATCTATAATCAAGGCGAGAACGGCATTCGCCATCACGGGGGGCGGCCGGCGCCGAAGCAGCAGAGGTGATGACAACAACATTCGCAGCCATGTTTTCGGCCGGTGCCAGGCGAGAGCAGCGTTCCGAATCGAGAGCGCGGCCCGCGCTGAGGCGACAACAACAATCGCAATCATGCGCGCAGCCGGCACCTAAGCCCCAAGCGAAAGCAGCATTCCGTGCCGAGGGTGCGGCCTGCCATTAGGCGAGCACAGTAATCGCCATCATGCGTGCGGCCAGCGTCTAAGTGAAAGCGCAATTTTCAATCAGGTGTGGCCGGCGACACATTGAGAACGACATGCTCCATGAAAGCTGTGGCTGGCGCCTGGGCGACAGGAACATGTTTCATCAGCCATGTGGCCTGCTCCCAGGCGAAAGCAACATGCTCAATGAAAGATGTGGCTGGCGCCTAGGCGACAACATGTTTCATCAGACATGTGGCCCGCGCCACAGCGAGAACAACATGCTGAATGAAGGACGTCGCTGGCGCCGAGGCGACAGCAACATCGTCAATCAGAGATGCGGCCTGCGTTGAGGCGAGAACGACATGAAGGATGTGGCCAGCGTCTAGGCGACAGCAACGTTTTCAATCCGAGATGCGGCCTGCGCAAAGCCACGAGCGACATGCTCAATGAAGGATCTCGCCAGCGCCCAGGCGACAGCAACATTTTCAATCAAACATGTGGCCTGAAATTACCAAGGCGAGAACGACATGCTCAATGAAGGACGTCGCCAGCGCCTAAGTGACAGCAGTACTTTCAGTCCGAGATGTGGCCCAAGCACAAGTCAGAGCATCATTCCGAGACGTGCGTGTCGCCAGAACCAAGGTGTCATGCCCGTTCCGCGCGGGCCGGGCTCGGTGTCACCAATGTCTGGGTGCCGTTGGGTGGCTAGTCCACGTTGGGGGGGGGGGTAGAGACAGGCGCGCGCACCCTTTTCAGTTGAGACGCAAGCAACGTCCTATCATCACAAACATCTTGAGACAAACGCGAGCAAAGGTGCGCGGACGGATGCTCAAAAGGGGGACGGAGGGAACGATGGGATGACTGTTCTCCCTCCTCGGACTTCTTCCTCCTCCTCCCTCCTCCTCCTCGCTCCTCCCTCAGCTTGCCCGCGATAGGCGACCTGGTCAACCAGAACGGACAGCGCCTTGGTTGTGAACTCGCCAACCTGCAGAGAAGGCAGGGGGAGGGAGGAGAAGGCGTACGTATGACTTAGATGGGATGGGAAACGAGGGGGGAAGAATGAGTGAGAGAACAATGAGAAGGGTGAGTCATAGGGGGGGGGAGGACCAGGCAGCTCGAGAGGGGTTGTGCTTAGGTGTTGCTGGGGGAGGAGTATGATGAGGAGGACGAGGACGATAGGGGTGACGAAGGGAGGAAGATATGAGGAAGAGGAGGGATGGGGTTGAGGAATGGTCAATTCTTTGCTGCTCAACGTGTTCCTCTTGTGCGGTCTCAGGGCTGCTGGCTGCCTGACTGCATGGGGTCTCATGGCGGCGCCAGCGTGACAGCACTACCGAATTAAATCTGGGTGTCAGCCATTAGGCGCCCAAGAGGCGCTCAGGAGGCCAGCAGGAAGAGCCGAGAGGGCCCAGAGAGGCCACCTAGAGGCCTCCGTCTCAGTCCCCTCCTTCTCCTCCTACTACTCATTCCCTTCCGCTCGCTCTTCCTCCCCCTGACGGCCCGGCGGCATGCCGAATGACGGCGGCTCAGGGTCCCGACTCAAGGGGGGCCCGCCGGGGATCCTGCTCTGCGGGCTCAACTCTGCGGACCCCCCGCGTGCGAGCAGAGGCGAGCGCTGGGTGCCCTTAGCCGCATAAAAGGCTCGGAGGGCAGATCGAAAAAAGGCAAGGGAAAGGCTTCGCAGGCGGTCGTATGGGAAGAAGGGGGTCTCGCGGCGCGTATCCCCACCCGCTCAACTCTTGGCTAACTCTGAATTCGAAGGGGGGCATCCCGGGCCGTAAAGATGGCCTCTACACTGACCACGATGGCCCCAGGATGGCTTCAAGACGACCCAATGCTCCCCTGAGACTGCCCAAGATGGCCCAGGACGACTGGCCAAAGAGGACCTCGACGACCCGACAGGCCCCGAACATAGCCCAAGAGGGCTACAAGAGGCCCTCCATATGGCCCCAAGAAGCAAACATCACTGACTTCCCTTCAGTTCTTGAAAATTTCAATATTCTCGCAAATCTGGCTTCTGACAGTTCATAACGGTCCGAGAGGCCTCAAAAATGATCACCTTCCAGCCCAAAGAGTCCCGAAAAGGACCCCTACACAGCCCAAGAGTCCCTAATAATGACCCACGACGCCCCCAAGCGGACCCAACACGGCCCAAGAGGCCTCCAGTGCAGCCACCCAAGAGGGCCTACGACGGCCCAGAGAAGTCCCCGATACAACCTCTCAAGGCGTCAGACGGAACACGAGCGCCCTAAGACGTCCCAAGAGCGCCCCAAGCAGCCCAAATGGGGCCCCAAACTGGCCCCCAAAAGGCTCCCGGGAGGCCCCCCAGGAGGCCCCAAGGGAGCACCGAGAGGCGGCCATCCCCTCCTCCTCCTCCTCCTCCTCCTCCTCCTCCTCCTCCTCCTCCTCCTCCTCCTCCTCCTCCTCATCATCATCATCATCATCATCATCATCATCATCATCATCATCATCATCATCATTCGTTTACCATCGCTCAATATGATGCTGCTCCCCTCTCTCCCCTGAAAGCGGCCTGAGAGTCTCGCGCGCCCTCGGCGTATTCTTTGCTACGCACAGGTGGGTCCGAGCTAGTTTGTGCTGTCCGCTTCAGATCCGCACGCTCCCGGTCCTTTCAAAATCGTGCTCCCGCCAAGATCGGGGCTTTGCTCCCGTCGGTTCCTCCTCTTAGGTGCGGAGCTCCCCCTCTCCGATTGCGCGTGCCACGCTGGTGTCGTTTCTGGAGTTCCAGGTCCGCCGAGACATTTTGCGTCGCAGCGCGGCAGAGGCAGTGAGTAGCCAGGGGCGCTCAGCATACGAAGCGTCCTGCTGCTGCTGCTGCTGCGAGAGAGAGAGAGAGAGAGAGAGAACAGGCGGGGGGGGGGGCGGCCGCGAAGCACAGGAGGGGGAGGAGGGCACTCACCGCGGAAGACATAGGTCCGCCAAGACACGCGTCCGCGGATGGAGAAGTACCAGACACGTGTCCGGCCCCTTCTCCGCGCGAGACCACTACTCGTGTGAACGCTCCATGCAGAAGAACACATGGCTATCTACGCACGGCCCACGCTGCCCTGCACTCCGCCGTGCCTCCCGGAGCCTACGAATGTGGAGTAAGCTGCGCACCTGGCAGCCACCCAGAAAGCCGCGGGACCTCCCAAGAGCCAACAAAACTGACCACAATTGTGCAATTGGCAACCTCCCAAAGACCCGTGGTCTCGCGTGACTGCCGCCTCCGCTGGGCCTCCCGGGCGCCCAAGAAACTGGCGACAATGGCGCAGTTGGCACTCTCCCAGGGGCCCGCGAGGTCTCGCGTGACTGCCGCCTCCGCTGGGCCTCCGAGGCGCCCAAGAAACTGGCGACAATGGCGCAGTTGGCAATCCCTCAGGGCCCCGCGAGGTCTCGCGAGACTGCCGCCTCCGCTAGGCCTCCCACGACACTGGCGACAATGGTGCGGCTGGCAGCCTACCTGGGGCCCGCGAGGTCCGACTATCGCCTCCGCTGGACCTCCCAGGGCCCCGCGAAAGCTGCGACAGGGCGCGGTTCGCAGCCCCCTTGGGGAGCAACGAGGTCTCGAGCCGAAAGGTACGAGGGAGGGAGGCAAGGAGGCAGGAGGCAGGAGAAGGGGGACGAGGACGAGGAGGATGGAGACCACAACGCTCTAATCAAAACGATAATCCAACTCACAAGAAAGTTGAAACAGAACCAGTGCAAAAGGGATGACCCATCCCTTCCCCTTCCCATCTCGCTGAAACCAAGAGTTCCCGACCATGACTCATCCGACCTGGCATCATAAATCAAGTCAGCTGGTACGACAGCTTCCCTGACTAGTTCCGGAGAGGAGTACGGGGCGACAAATCACTATGGTCAGGTCGGGCATGGCCCTCTCTGCAGGCTAAAAACAGAATCCAAAAATACCCCCAAATGGTCAAAAGCAGAAAAACAAATCGCCCCCTGACAATTTTGTTGACTATCTTTGAATATTCCCTCGTGTAGAGGGACGTGCCCGACTTACCGCTATGGTAAGGGGCGGGCGGGAGGAGCAGGCTGTCAGATGTGGCGAGGGCGCACCTGGCCTGCCCCCCCCATCTCGCTCCTCGCCAGCTGACGCCCCGACGCCATGGCATGCCAGCACTGTTCGGTGGCGCGCAAACATGGATTAGCGATCCATGGACTTGGCGCGCGGTCGCCAAGTCCATGGATCGGGGGAGGTGACCTCCCCAAAATGCGGCCGGTGCCGCCCCGTTCGGCGGCGGAAATCAGCGATTTCCCATGGAAGCGATGCCCGTCGCTACTCCACGCCCCCTCAGTCCATGTTTGCGATCGCCGGAGCTGACGCCCCGACGGCATGCCGGCACTCTCCATCGTGCGGGCCCGCTCTCCCCCGAGTGGGACGCTCCGCGGCTCCCGCCCTGCGGGCCCCAGCGCACTCCTGCCACGACGGCGCGGCTCCCACCTCTCTCACCGCGTGATCCGGTGCTGGTGGGACCGCTTTCCACGGCCACCACCATACGTAGGAGGGGGAGGGGGTCCTCCCCCTCCTCCTCCTCCTCCTCCTCCTCCTCCTCCTCCGCCTCCTCCTCCTCCTCCGCCTCCTCCGCCTCCTCCTCCTTCTCCTCCTCCTCCCTTCCTCCTCCTCCTCTTCCTCCTTCCTCCTTCTCCTCCTCTCTCCCCTTCCTCCTCCTCCTCCTCCGCCTCCTCCTCCTCATCCTCCTCCTCCGCCTCCTCCGCCTCCTCCCCCTTTGTCTCCCTCGACCCGAGATCCCTGCGGAGCGCCTTTTCCGCAGTCAGATGGGCGCCACCAGACTCGTTGGCAGCGTCAGTACCTACAGCCTTGGATGATGAAAATAGCTGGGAAACACCAGAGGCCCGAGAGTTCACCTGCCAAATTCGAGGAGACCCCACTGGCCCCATATGTGGTTCCCGATTCAAAACGCGCGCAGCACTAGTAGCACATGTATGTCAATCACGGCAACCAGGACACGGGGGACACAGTATATTTCATGCACTGACACCTAGCAATGCGTGTATCAACTGTGGCACGACGCTCCAGACGAAGACGGAGACGGTACGACATTTAGCACGATCATGGCATGCGGGGAGATGTATTATGCACAACACGGCTTATCCATACGAGTTTCGGGAACCCGAGGGGCGAGATTGTCCACTGTGTGGTCTTGGGTACGCGTCCTACGAGCTGCTCCGTAGCCACCTGTGCTCACACCTGCCGCCGACGCAGGAGGGCCGCTCCATCTCCATAGTGCTCCCACGACCAGTGCAGTCAACCCCGAGCCAGAGGCGCCGCCAGACGCTGCGGGCATCGACGCGCTTGAGGGGCTCCGACATTCGCTCGCAGGAGGGCCTTCTGGTACCGCGAGCTGCTGATCCACCAAGAGAGCTTCGAGGAGATAATGGCCAGCTCGTCGGGAGGTGCGATGGACGTCGAGAAGAAGGGCGGCAGCTGGCGACCCCGCGCCTCCTCGGCCAACTCGAAGAGTGGTGGCGGCAAGTCCAACTCAGGCGAGGACTCGGGCCACAAGACCCAGAAGGCCGAGGGGGGGCGCGTGGCCCGCGGGGCAGCGGGCACCGAGGGCACGGCGCAGAGGCCTCGCATCCGCCGAGGGGGCCGCAGGAGAGCCGAGGCCAAGGAGCGCAAGATTACCACGAAGGACAGCGGGCTCAAGGAGCTCCTCTTGTACCTCACGATGCTGGTGGCGCAGCTGGCACAACGGTCGAGGGCGATGTGGGGAGTCACGACACGCACGGTGCTGCTGGAGGAAAGCTCGCCCGTGTTCAAGGCAATGCAGACGGAGAGCAGCAGCTTCGCCCAGATCGCCAACGACATGAGGTCCGACATCAACAAGCTCAAGCAGAAGGCCAAAGACGACAAGGAGTCGGACGCCGCGGCCGCCAGGAAGTACGACCTGGACGCGGAGCAGATCTTGAAGGATCTGCGCATCCTGGGGCCGCCCGCCCCAGCAGTGTACTGCGCAATGCTGGAGGCCCTGTCGAAAGAAGAGATCGGCCGCCAGAACAAGGAGTTCCTCCAGGCCACGCTCGCGGAGGTGGACGACCAGCCGCCGACCTATGTGCGGCTGTGCAAGCTCGAGGGGTGCAAGCAGCCCGACACGCTCAAGATTGTGTACGCCCTCGATCGCACGGACTTGGAGACGAGAATTCTCGAGAGCTTCCCCGCGATGGGCGCCACGGTCACAGTCGGGTCGGCCCCCTCGGGCTACCTAGAGGACGAAGTCTCAGCTTGGATCGACGTCTTGAACGAATAGAGAACGAAAATCACACCAGTGATGATGAGGAGGCCCCAGATCTCTGGCCCCCAGTGGCTGAGGACCCGATCTTTGAAGGCTGGCTTGTGGAATAGAGTTCAAGTTCGGAGTGCGAGCCTAGCGCCGTGGCCATTGAGCTATGGCAGTGCGGCCTCGCGCACCTGACAACTGATTCGCACCGTGCGGTGCGGACGGCGGACGCAGTTATCTTTGACCCCGCTCCTCTTCGCCCCCCCCCCCTCGCTCGTCGGTCGCGGCCCTTGGCCTGTCGCTCGGCCTCCTATTCCCACTCGGTCCCGTTCGCTCGGTCCTGTCGGTGGCCCTCGATCCCTCGGGAATAAGAGCTGCAACGGCTAGCCTTTGTCCATTTTTGCCAAGAGCGGTAGTACTCATTTGATTCATCGTCCCACAGCCGTGAGCAAGCAAGCAAGCCCCTCCTCCTCCTCCTCCTCCTCCTCCTCCTCCTCCTCTTCCTCCTTCCCCCCTCCGACTTATGGTGGTGCTGGTGGAAAACAGGCCCATCAGGTGCACCTCCGAGTCGTCTACGCTGTGGAGGCCCCTCTCTGGAAGCTGTCGGCGGACCTCTGTGTCCTGCCTTTTCCCAGTGCTGCGCTGCCGCCGCGCCCGGGCGGAACGCATCGAAGGAACGAAGGAACGTATCGACGCACGCCGCTCAAAGACTGGGCCTGCCTTCGCGCAAAGGCCCTAACATTTCCCCATAGAGGCCTCTGAAAGCGCTCCGAAGAGACCCCAAACAGCATGCCTGAGGACACTGACCCACGTCGTCGTCGTCGTCCTCCTCGCCGCCGCCGCCATCGTCGTCGTCGTCGTCGTCGTCGCCGTCGTCGTCCCCCTTCAGGGTCGGCGGCACCGGCCGTAAGGCATTCGCAGTCAGGCAAGAAAGCCGGGGTGATTTCCCCGCGGGCCTCTGCTAGCAGTAGCAGCTGGCAAACATTGCATTTGGCGCGGGCCTCATACGTCTTTATTTTATGGGGAGAGAAGATGTGGGGGGGCAACATGGCGGAACCTCTGGCTATCTCAGCTCGCCGCAAAATAGAAACAAATGTTGCACACGTGGGGGCACACATTGAGTGAACAGCCCTGGGGGAAAACATCCAGTGAACGAGCCCACGTGGGGGCACACATTGAGTGGACAGCCCTGGAAAACATCGTGGCTCTGAAAACCAACTATCGCCCCGGACTCGGGTAGGGAATGAGACGTAGATCGGACCTCATGCGTCATGTATGTATGCAGCATAAATCTGCTCACTATCTGACTGCAACATGAAGGCGCCTTGACCTCCGCCTCGGTGACTATGGCGTCAATGAGCTGAGATCCATTTTTTGCTGACTGAAATGCTCCTCAACACCATCCTCCCTGTGCTCCAGTCCTCACCTCCCCATTGTGCACACCAGTCCCACAAGGACGCAGAAGATTGAGCCCGAACGAGAAAAACAGCCTCTTTCCGATCGGAAGCCGCGGACCTAAATGATCACGCGATCATGCTACAAACCCATGGGCTTAAAAACTGGAAGACAGATATTGCGCAAGACACGCTGTTCTCGTTGACCTCGGGGCCCAAATCTGATCGGACAAGATCGGGAGACACCAATTCTGTTCATTGGACTCTTAAGAGTGGAAGCCGAAAAGGAAGATGGCGACGACAAGGCGGCGGACGACGAGGATGACAGCATGGATGACGGGGAGGGCAGCGAGGGGAGCAGGTGGACAAGGAGTAGGAAGACAAGCACAAGGACGAGGAGGAAGAGATGGAGGAGGACGAGCACAAGGAGCAATGAAGCGGAGGAGGAGGCGGAGGATGAGGAGGAGAAGGACAACGAGGACGAGGAGGAGAAGAAGGACGACAACGTCGACGACGACGACGAGGGAGGACGGTAAGGAGCACGAGGGAACGGATGTCGAAGAAGGGGTGGGGTCCTCGTAGTCTTTTGAGGCTCCCCTGGGGGCTGTTGGGGCCATCTGGGGCTATCGTGGGCCATCCTGGGGGCCTCTTACTATGGGACCTTTCGGGCTCCTCGTTGGGAGTACTGGGGCTTACTTGAGCTGCTGGGCGTGTCCTAGGAATCTGTGGGAAGCTCTCTCAGGCCGTCTTGGCGCCATCTCGGGCTGTCTTGGGGCTCTCTTGGACCGTCTGGGGGTCGCTCTTGGGAGCCCCTTGGGGCTCTGCTTGTGTCCTCTGGGGGGCCCTTGTGGGTTATTTGGGTCTAAATCATCCACCGTGCCTCGAGGCACGAAGTGGAATCTCCACAGTGCTCCCCGGGCTTCTAAAGCTCGCTGTGCTCTGTACTCAATGGTGTGATGGTCTAATTCGGGGCAGGGGGCCCCGAATTTTAAATTTCATGGGCGCTCCGGCCCAAGAGGCCTCCAACACAGCCCGACAGCGCTTCAAGACGTTCAAGATGGCCCAAAGACTGGGAGGGGGTGCCGCGGGTAGTTAGAGTGACCAAGATGGCCCAAGATGACTCCAAGAGGGCCTCAGAGAGCCCAAGATGGCATGCAAGATGGCTCAAGATACCTGAAGATGGTTCAATATAGCCTCCGACACACATCCAAAAGGCCTCAAGACGGCCCCAAGACGGATTCAAGTGCCCTCCGAGCCCTCCTAGGACCCCCCAAGAGGCCAACATCCTTCAATAGTTAACCTAGGGAAGTCATTGTTTTTTGCCTTCTCGCCTTTTCGCTTCTCATGGGCTCTTTGGGCCTCAAGCTGGCCCCAAGACGGCCCAAGAGAGCCCCACGAGGAGCCCTAAATGGCCCCAAGACGGCCCAAGAGGCCCCGGAAGATGCCTCCGACATTTCGAGCCCTTCGCCCCAAGATGGCCCTCGAGACCACCAACAGGCCCACAAGAGGGACCCCCAGGCTCCATGAGGCCTCGAAGAGGCCCAAATCAGAGCCCAGGATCCCCCCAAGAGACCCCCGAGAGGCCCCCAAGACGCCAAGAAAACCAAATCGCAGAGGCTTCCAGGAGGCCTCCCAAGAGATCCCCAAAGGCATCCCAACCGCCTCTGACCTAAAACCCAAGCGCCATGGCGGGATGGGCCGAAAGCCACTTCATCCGGCGCCCCCTGTTGATCATCACAGAGTGCCTGGCGTGCTAAACGTCTGATGGCTTCTGGTTAGCTTTAAGACTGCCCCAGGGCTTTGGCCCAGCGCGCCGGCCACCTGGACAGCTCTTCCAGGCGTGTTTGCAAAGGTTTGTCCTGCTCCAGATGTCTCCGAGATGGCCGAAGATGGCGTCCGAGACGGGGAGGATGGCCTCCAAGTTCGCACAAGAGGGTCCAAGATGGCGTCCAAGACGGCCCAAGAGAGTTCAACATGCCTCCAAGTTCCGTCGAGAAGCCTCCAAACCGGCCAAGACGGCCAGAGACCTCCAAGAAGTACTCCAGGAGGGCCCGCAGAGGCCAACATGATTGATGTCCCTTTGGTCTGTTTAACCGATTTTAGAATGTGTGTATGTTCTCTCTTCCGGCGGCCTGACACGGCCCAAGAGCACCCCAAGATCGCCCCGAGATGGCCCCAAAGGTCTCCAAGATGACCTCACAACGGCCAAGGAGCCTCCAACACAGCCCCTAGAGGGCCCCCAGACGGCCCAAGAGGCCTCCATCAAGACGCCCGAGAAGGCCTCCGAGACGGCCCGCAAGCGCCCCAAGAGTGCCCCACGACGGCCCAAAGAGGCATCCACGAGGGCCTCCGACGGCGTCAGACGGGCCAGGAGCGCACTAAGACGGCCAAAGAGGCTCCCAAGAAGCCCCCAAAGGCCCCCAAGAGGCCCAAGGAGGCCCCCAACAAGAGGCCTCCAAGCGGCCCCCAGGGAGCTCCCAGGAGGCCCCAAGAATGACCCAAGAAGTCTCCTGCTTTTTCCTCCCTCTCCTCTTCCTTCCCCACGTGTTCCCCGAAGGGCTTGCACAACGGCTGGGGGAACGCATGGTCCAATAGCGAAGCCAAACTTTGCCCAAACGTTCGGCCGCATAGGCGTATACTAAGGCAGTGAGCGGCGGTGATTCGCCGGAGGCGTCTTCGATCCGCCGCCCCCTTTGGTCTTGCCACAAGGGGGTGCACGGCATGCCAGACTCCTGGGAGGTTATGGTTCTTTTAAAACTCCCCCTGGGGCTTCGGCCCAGCCCGACGGCCACCCGGAGAGCTCCCCAAATCTACTGGTCAATACCTATCCCGATCCAAGATGGCCTCAGATGGCCTTCAAGACGGCCAAGATGGCCCGAAGAGAGCCCACGATAGCACCGGGATGGCCTCTAAGACGGTCCCAAGATGCCTCTAAGACAGCCAAGGTGGTCCAAGAGAGCCCAAGCCGGCCCAAGAAACGCCCAGGAGGCCCCGAAGACGGCCCAAGAGGTCTCCAAAATGTCCTCCAGGAAGGCCCGTAGAGACCAACATCATTGATTTCCCTCTCGCTTTTGAAGTTTGCTGGCATGTGCTTCAAAACTGCCTTCCGACGGCCCAAGACGGGCCCCCATGATCGCCCTAAGATCGCTCAGGAGGCATTCAAGATGGCCCTGGGACGATCCAAGCGGCCCCCAATGGGTCCAAAGACGGCCCAAGAAGCCTCCAAGACGCCCACGATGGCCTTCAAGACGACACGGAAGCACCCCAAGACGGCCCAGGGAGGCCTCCAAGACGGGTTCCGACGGCGTCGGACGGGCCAGGAAGCCCCTAAGACAGCCAAAGAGGACCCCAAGAAAGCCCCAACATAACCACAACGCGAGGCCTCCAAGAGGCCTCAAGGAAGCTCCCAGGAGGCCCCAAGAATGACCCAAGAAGCTCCAAACAAGTCTCCTCATACTTCTCTTCATCCTCATGTTCCCTCCCTCTACTCACCCTCTTATTCTTCCCGCACGGTCCGGTAGCGAGGAACGCATGGTCCGATAACGAGGCCAAACTTTGCCCAAACGTTTGGCCACCAGGCATATCCGAAAATGCAGGGGGCTGCGGTGATTCGCCGGAGGCGTCTTCGATCCGCCACCCCCTGTTGATTTATCAGAAGAGTTCCTGGCGTGGTTATTTTCTTTCTACAGAACTTCGCCTGGGGCTTCGGCCCAGCCCGCCGGCCACCTGGAAAATTAGGAACAAGCATGGAGCGTGTTTTTTTTGTGACTCAAAGATGGCCTCCGAACACGGCCAAGAGGGCTTCTATGACTGCCATGATGGTCCCAAGGGAGCCCACGCTGGCTCCAAGACGGCCCAAGATGCAACCAAGATGGCCTCAGATGGCCTCAAGATGGCTCAAGACGTCCGACGAAGCCCCCCAGAGGCCTCTAAGACTGCCCGTGAGGCCTCCAAAAGGACATACAGGACAGCCCGTTGACGCCAAAATTACGGATGCTCCCGTAGAAGCCAAAATTACTGGATTTTGGCATTCCCTCCTTGTGACGGCCCAGGACGGCCCGTGAGGCCCCCAAGTTTGCTCCAAGATCGCCCACGAGGCCAACAAGATTGCCCAAGGACGGTCCAAGAGGCTCGCTCCCACACGGCCCCAAGAGTACCCAAGAGGCCTCCAAGACGCCCAGAATGGCATTCAATACGACGCGGAAGCGCCCCAAGACGGCCCAAGGAGGCCCCCAAGACGGCTTACGACGGCGTCGGGCGGGCCAGGAACGCCGTTAGTCGGTCAAAGAGGACTCCAAGAAGCCCCCAAATAACCCCAACAAGATGCCTCCAATAGGCCCCCAGGAAGCCCCCAGAAGGCCCCAAGAACGACCCAAGAAGCTCCCAGCAAGTCTCCTCATCCTCCTTGTCCACCCCTCTCCTCTTCCTTCTCTTCCGTCCTTCCTTTCCCACGTGTTCCCCGAAGGGCTTCCACAACGGCTGAGGGAACGTACGGTCCAATAGCGTGGCCCAACTTTGCCTAAACGTTTGCCAATGTAGGCGTATCCTGGCAAAACAGGGGGCGGCGGTTATTCGTCGCAGGCGTCGCCGATACCATGTTACAATGGGCTAACTTGATTGCGCATCTGTTGCATCTACTGTCCCGGTCCATAAACATAATGGCGAAGTGGATCAAAGAACATGAAATCGACCTTCAACCAACCAACCCTCGAACAAAACTTGCCGCTCGCTGGTCAAGGCGACAGGATGATTCCCCCTGCCATCGGACAGTTGCGAATTCGTGTGGTACTCCCAGGCAAGCCTCCTGCTCCATTCCACGCCGCCAGACTGTGACGATTTCGCTTGAGATTTCCTGAGGTCAAGCTGCTGGAACCATTCCATGCCGCCAGGAAGCGTAGATTTCACACGCAATCGAGGATCCAGGATCGTTCGACCAGGATCGATGCAAGATCGTAGGTCCAGGATCGAGATTTAGGATCGATCGACGATCACAGTTCGAGACGATATATTCATCCAGGGGGTTGTTACAACATCACCTTCCATGGGTCACACTTAAAAATCGGATAAGTAACCCCTTTGGCTCTGGCGATGAGAGGTGACGTAAAACGAGTTGAGCGCTCTGATTAAGGCACAAAGTCACAAACACACGTTGCACCGACCAATTTGCGACCGTTTGATCCAATACTTTCACACTTGGATAGGCGCCAACACATCTTAGTACGTCCAAGACCTCCGTGAACACAAACTTCCATTCGCTTTTCGAAACGACGGAAGGCTTCTCAGCCTCAAGACGAAACTGTGGCCCCATTCAATGCCCCCAGAACTTGGCGATGTCGCTTGCGACTTACCGACCACCGAGTTTCTGGTTCAATTACTGTACCGCCAGGAGGTGCCGATTTCGCGTGCGACCAACTATCGGAGGTCGTTCGAAGATGATCGAGACTCGAAGTTGGATGGATGGAAGCCCGAGGGTCCAGGATCGATCGGCGATCGAAAATCGAGAATCGATCGAGGACCGAAGGTCAAAGGGGGGTTACAACGGAAAGTGTCAATCCAGACGTGTTAGTCGAGGTGGTGGTGACAAAGAGACCACGTCACCCATCACAAGCCAATGCGCAGTGACTGCCGAAACTGCTGTACAGCTTCAAAGAATTAAGATCTTAGACTGGCGAAGGGCCCGACCCTGTGCAACCCAGCTGGCCCAGGTCATGTCCATCTTCTTCCGCTGCGTGCCGCAAAGCAGTGCGGAGAAAGGCCTGCAGAGCAAGCCCGCGTCCTACGCGCTGAACTCCCTGCGCGGCACGATACGAGTGAGAGAGGGTAAAGCGCCCACCGAAACCGTAAAGACAATTTCCAATGGGCCACGATCCGTGTGAAAGGTGTGTCGGTATGGGCGGCGGGACGCCGTGCGGACCTGCCCGCTTGCACCCCAGGAGGAGCTCCTTCTCGGGCACGGTCAATGCGAGGGGGTGTGCCGACATGGGAGGGGGTTGCGGCATGCGGACACTGATTGTTGGGCCTTAGGTGGATCTTCCTGCGTGGCGTGGCGGGCAGTATACAGACCCTGTCTCTGGGGCCATGGCTGGAGCACCATGTGGGGCACAATTCGCGCGAGGGTGTGCCAAACCTTGAATGGGGGGTGGGGGGTGATGGATGCGGGCCCTGTCTGTGGAGTCGTAGCTGGAGCTCCCAGTGGGTCACGATCAGTGTGAGGTGTGTGTGTGTGTGTGTGCGTGTGCGTGTGTGTGTGTGTGTGTGTGTGTGCGTGTGTGCGTGTGCGTGTGTGCGTGTGCGTGCGCGCGCGCGTGTGTGTGTGTGTGTGTGTGCGTGTGTGAATGCGTGTGTGTGAATGTGTGTGTGTGTGGGTGGGTGGGTGGTTTGGGTCGGTGGGTGGGTGGGTGGGTGGGCGGGTGGTTGCCTGTGTGCGTGTGCGTGTGCGTGTGTGTGTGTGTGTGTGGGTGTGCGAAAAGTTGGTGGGGCGGCGACGTGCGCCCCCTCTCCACCCCACTGGGGCTGTATGTGGAGCTCGCTACGGTGCACGAAACGAGTGCGGGGGGGGTCGGCATGGGCGGGGTGGCGGCATGGGTTCCCCCCGCACCCACTGCGGCGGTAGGTGGAGCTCCCTATGGGGCACGAGCTGCGTAAGAGGCGCGCCGAACTGGTGGGGTGGCGGCATGCGCCCTCCCACCGCGGCCGTATGCGGAGGTCCCTATGGGGGCGCGAAACGAGTGACAGGTCCGCCGAAACGGGCAGGGTGCCGGCATTCAATACCCGCCCAACGGGGGCCCTAGGTGGAGCCTTCCATTGGGGCACAAAGCGTGTGAGGAGTAGGCAGGGCGAGATAGTGATGTGAGACGCGCTGCGCTACCGATTCAAAGCGAGGACCCGCAATAGTGTGCGGGGGAACATGTCGGCGGTCCCAAGGCGGGCGTGAGAAGCGAGTCAGCATTGCTCCGAAGAAGCGGTCGGCGACGCGATCCCTAACAATCGCAGGGGAGGGGGAGGCATTCGCAGCGCAGCTTGTGCGCTGAGGGTTAGGAGGACGATGTGAGGAAAGAGGGCGGGGTCGGGAAAAGGGCACTGGCAATTCATGGGCCCGGGATCCACGTCGACCGAGCCGGCTCCCGGGGCCCTGAGGCCCTGCTCGGCCTCGCAAGCAGGAGACGCGCCCCCCCCCCCCCGGCACCCCGACCCACACCCCTGACGCGGCCGTGCCCAGGGGGGGGCGCTCCGCCGCCCCGACGCGCCGACCGCCGCGAACAGGAGGGGCCGCCGCCAGCGCCGCCAACGCCGCCGCGATCCGCGCCCGGGAGCGCCCCTCTCCCCCCCGCACACATCCAGGATTCGAGCAGGAGGTCAACTACAGAATTCACAGAGATCATTGACCCTGTAATCATTGTTCCCGAATCTACGAGCAACACGTAGAACGTATAAGGTTGGTAAATCTACGAGCGTTGCATTTATATTTACAGATATACATATAGATATATACATATACACATATGTCAGGTGTGTCGTGCTAGAGGTTCAACAAAAAAGCAAGTTTGGGTTAAATAAATTCTGTAAACGATTTCCTACTGGAGAGATAAGAGGCAGGCTGCTAACGTCTAAGCCGAGAGTGGCAGAGTTACGATAGACGAGCGAATTCGGAGGCCAAGTCCTTGGAGCAGGGCGCCGACAACCGGCGGTACGCCCAAGCGCACCGGCACAGTGAGGTGTACTTCAAGTCCTGTGCCGCCCCCGCCCCCTGGCCTCTCTTCACGGTTTGGCGCTGGCTGGATATGGGTGGAGACAAGGGGGGGGAGCAAGGGGAGCGGGAGCAGGAGGCAGAGCAAGCAGGAACGGGATGATGATGCCAGGGGGAGGAGGATGAGGAGCAGGAGTACCATGATTAGGAGGAAATGGAGGAGGAGGAGGAGGAGGAGCAGTAAGTGGGGAGGAAGCTATTGACTCTTCCTCCCTACCCCTCCCCCGCCTCATCCTTCTCCCCCCGTCCTCCTTCCCCATCAACCTTCCCTGTAAATGACACGTTCTCGTTGCACGACCAGGCGTGTCGGTAGGGCGGGCCAAGCGTCTCGCTTGAAAATGTATGACCGCTTATGTGTGTTCCTGACGCTTGCGATGCTCAGTACTTGCACGGATAGAGGGCGGCCCGTTGTGGCGATCGCCCTGGAGCCATTTTCGAAACGGAACTCTGGCTCAAGACTTCTCCAGATTCAACGTCTGTCAGCATAAGCATGTGCAGCAGCTGTGGATGGATGCACTATTTCCAAACGGGGTCTCTTTGGACACCCCCCTTGATCTCTGTGATGATCATACCTCTTGGTTTTGGCAGCTAGACGGGTGGAGGGCCTCGCTTCAATTGCAGACCCACGCTTCTGTCGTGTTTCATGGGGGCGCTTGCCGCAAAGACGAAGACTGCCGATAGGGAATGATGGGGAGGAAACTTTCGCCGGGAGGGTGTATTGCAGCATTGTTGATGCATCCTCGGTTTACAATGGTCCTCCTCATGTTCCTCCTTCCTCCACCATCCTCCCTCCTGCCACCTCCCCCGTCCCACCATCCTCCATTCCCCTTCCCTCCATACGACTCCGAATTATTCCCACCAGACGCGTCCCAGGCCATGCGTTTCGCTCCAGGCTTCCTTATGATTTACTACGCTGGAGCTGACCAAGAGCTGCAGATCTGGATGGCCGATCGTATTGAAGATGCGGCTCTCGCCTGAACGTGACGTATATCAAGCCTTAACGTTTCCAACTGCCATTAGGAAGGAGGGTAAGTCATGTTCAAACTACGGCTCTCGCCTCAACGTCGCGCACATTCGCTTGAGAAGCGTCAAGCCCCCACGAGGAGTCAGGCAGGTTATCCAAAATGCAGCACTCTCTTGAGACATCCGCAAATCAGAGAGTCCAAATTCCAAGATGTGGAAAGCGGCACGGATGGAGGGAGGCTCCTGAGCATCGTTTAACCGATCCCCATCCCCACCAGCGTAGGCTGGGCCCCACTGGTCGATTTACCACCCTGATGGAGGTATAGGCTGCTCTCCACGGGTTTCGAGAGGCATATCCCCAACTGAGAAGGTGAGACGGCGAGGCTCGAGATGTGGATAGGGATGGGGATAGGGATCGGTTAAACGATACATAGCTCTTTCTCAAAAAGCTTTCAAAAGGTGACCCCGGAAGTTGCGCAAGACCCTTCTCTCAACGCGGGGCCCGTCGCTGGACACCTCCCGGAACTTGCTCGGTATGCCGTGTTTCGCGTTCTCTTGATAGGGCGAGAGCGATGTCATGATGCGATCGGGTCAGGATGCGCTGCACAATTTCCAGGATATCTGGCGGCCCTCGTTTCGGCATCCCGTGTGGCACGACAGTACATGTAGAAGAAAGCCCTGGAAACCTGGAACCTGGAGCGTATCATTCTCATGACCTCCGGCTCCTCTGAATTGAGGTCGGAACGTGGATGGCTTCTTCCCCACCCCCCAAAGCCCCCTCCTTGCCCCCACTCGCGTGAGGGCTGACCCTCGGCGGCCTGGCCGTGGTTGGGCCACAGTGGAGGGCGTCGAGCAAGGAACGGCATGTTTTCAGAACGAAGGAATGTTCGAATAACAAAGACACTGCCAGCCAGCGTAGATCCCAAGCAGTGTGGCTCTAGGAACATAATGGTGTACAACTTGTGCTAGTGCAATACATGTGGTGCAATGCACGTGGTGCAAACAATGAGGTGCAATATATGTTGTGCACTCTACGTGGTGTAATACCATTACTGCCAAATGTGTGGTGTAACCTGTGTTGTGCGATCCATGTGCAACAATACTGGTTTTGCAAACTATGTGAAACAATATCTGTGGTGCAATTTATGTGGCTCGACGTGTGGTGTGCAGTTCATGTGAGCAGTGACTGCGATCTGCGTCATGCCATATATAGTGTGCAATTCAAGTGGAAAGAAATGGGTGGTACAAATTATGTCGAGAAATATATGTGGTGTAATATGTGTTGTTCAACCGGCGTGGTGCAAACTGTGTGGTGCAATCTGTGTGGCGCAGGATCTGTTTTGCAATCGATGTTGCCCAACATATGAGTGAAACATTGTGTATATATATATATATATACATGTTCCGATACTCAGGTACATAGATTTAAGTACATATATACAGGGTGCACGATAGGTGGTGTAACCAATGTAATGCGACATATATGTGATGAAATCTAGGTTGTGCAGCCTATGTTGTGCAATCTTGGTTGTGAACTATATGTTGTGCAATATATAAGTGGTGCAATCTAACGGCGGCGACGACGGTAGCAGGGTGGCCACGGCGACAACATAGCCACCAGAACGACAGACAGTCCATTGACGGGCGGCGACGGGGCGGCGACGGCGGCCACGTAGCCGACAGACTGAGGATACGGCACAGAGACGGCGACGAGGCGGCGACGTGCCGGCAACGGCGGCCACATAACCAACAGACCGAAGACACGGCCAGGACGACGGGCGGCGACGAGGCGGCGACAGGGTGGCGATGGCGGCCACATGGCCGCCAGACCGAAGACACGGCCCAGCTCCTAAAAACAGGAGGATGACGATGACGACGAGGAGGAGGAGGAGGAGGAGGAGGAGGCTCCCTTTCCTCCTTCTCACCTCCCTCCTGTAGTTGGCCCCAGGACGACCACTAGCTGGCCCCAAACTGCCTCATGACCTGCTTTGGGGCCCGAGGGTACCTCAAAGTTGTTCCACATGGCTCCCATACACTACTCTACGTATACATCGGGCTATCAGTGTTTCTGCAGTCAGCTACATGTGGCCCACGATCAACTCAACACACTGCAAACACATGTGTATAACTAGCGAATTGCGCCTGCTCCCTGAGCTATTCAATTCGGCTTCATAGCTTCATAGCGGACCCTGAGGCGCATTCGGGAGCCTCAAGGGGCTCCCAATAAAGCTTCGGAACAGACGCCCTGGAGACTCCCAGCACCCCGCCAGCGCTTCAAGAGCGCACCAAGACCACCATTTCGTCAACCGGAGCAGGCAAACCATCCACCCACAAGCAATTTGCATGAGCTGCAAGTCTCGCGAATGCTCCACATGTTCATTGTGGTGATATCGTCAGCCCACCCATTCCCCAAACCTTGATGTCTCGGATGATATGTGGCGCGGCCAACTGCAACAATTCGACGTCCATCTGACCGGCCTGCAAGAATGTTACTGGAGAGGAGACAGAGGTGTTATATTGAGAAGCTTGCACGTAAATGGGATCATGCACTACTCGATGCTTACGCATATGGCGAGACAGCTGACACGTTCCTTGCAATGCTTGTTATACCGCACTAGGTGCCACTGCAAACTACGTCTGCAGTCCATGTCCGTCAAGACAACTCGCTCGGTCGATCGCCATGTTCATGACAACCGCCTTCACGAAGAATAGACTCGCACAGCTAAGGAGAAAATGTGTATACGACAGGAATACACAAACTTGCCACTCACGACCGGCGAACACCGACTGTCTCCACACGCCCATGAGACTCGCACCTCTCACATCTTGAGAAACGCAATGAATACACGGCGTGCGGCTAGTACATATCCGATCGGGCACTGCGAAACACGCGGATACCGACTCTCTTTATCAGAGGGCAGGAGCAGGGCATCACTGCCCATGTTGCCCTGTGACCCCAGGTTGCACGGGGCGGGCACGGCACAACTCGAGCGGATAGGGCGGCTGGCCCAGTTTACAAGCTCATTGCAAGCACATCGGAGGCTGACCAAGTCTTGAGCAGCACGCGTGCACAAAGCAGCCAACCTGCTCCAGGCCAGCCCACTGCACTCCTCCAGGGCGTCAAAGCACTTGCCTTCCTTGCTCACGAGGGGAAGGGCACGGCAGTACTTGGATCAGCTCGTGGGCGGGAATGAGAAGCCCCAGGAGGCCTCCAAGAGGCCCCCAAGAGGGCCCCAAGAGCCTTCAAGAGGCCCCACGAAGCCTCCGGAAGCCCCCAGCAGGCCAGGAAGAGGCCCCGGGAGACGCCGCCTCGCGCGCTGCCAGGCCAAGAGATGCACGGTGTGACTTGGCGTTGCTCGGAAGCGAACGCGAACCTCAAACCTCGTCGCTCCTCTCTAATCTCGCACCCATGGGATCGCGCCTCGGTGCCCTGACAGCGAGGGCGTGGACACGGATCTGTCTGTCGCTCGCGATTGGTGCCCAGACGCGCGCTGATAGGGAAGTGCCACCAGTACGGAGGACCCGAAAGCGCGTCGGTCGGCGAGCCGCATGCCTACTGTCCGCTGGCGGAGCGAAGAGCCTCCTCGATCGCAATGGGCCCGACAGCTCCAGGGCCACCGGGAGCAGCGGACCACTTCCCTCTCGCTCCTCCTCCCCAGAGCCCAGGGGGCGACCAAGCAGGGGCCTAGACATCGGTAGCGTCTTGGTGTGGCACTCTCCACGCTCGCTTTGCGCAGTGACGGCATGCACTTGGTGTAACGCCAGACTGAGTCCAAAACTTCCGGAGCCTCGCCCCTCCTCCACTCGCACTTCCCGCCGCTCCCCTGCCGTCCATTCCCCTCCTCTTCCCTCCCCCCTCCCTCCGAATTGGACAGCAAACTCCCACGTCGCCTGCGCATACGGTCGGACCCAGAACATAATATCATCCTTCAAGAACATGGGATCCTCCGCCGGCCAAAGCACCCCAAACCATAAGATCACTCAATGGTACCCTCCCTCCGGATGCACAAGAACATCAAACAACCATGAAAAACATCAGGGCACCCCCCCGAACCAACCTCGATGTTATACCTTGGTCCGACCGTACGTGCAGTGGAAACCTAGATCAACAACTCCTCCTCGAAGAAATCACAAGGCCGACTCGCCTAGAAGGGCGCACGGAGTCGAGACTGGCTCTTCGAGGTCTGCCACACTGCCGGAATCGAGCTTCGACGACCCAGCCTGGAGGTGGTAACTGGAGGAACGCCGACTTTCACCCACGCCGACAGTGGCCAGTCCGACACACAACATCACGTTTTTCCGTGGCATGGGCGCCTCCCCCCCGCCTGGACCCCTCGACTTCATTCAGGGGGCCGGTGTTTGCTCCTCCCGGGCCACGTCTTGCCTGCCCCAGGGCCAACAGAACCGCCGCGACGGGACGCCGAAACGTACAGACACCTGCGGCCTCGGAGCTTGGCAAATAAAACTGTGCAGGTGTGCAGCTGGCGCCCCCGAGGGGCCAGCGGGAGGGAGCCGGGGGGGGAAGAACTCTCTCCTCCTCCTCCTCCTCCTCCTCCTCCTCCTCCTCCTCCGCCTCCTCCTCCTCCTCCTCCTCCGCCTCCTCCTCCTCCGCCTCCTCCTCCTCCGCCTCTTCCGCCACCTTCTTCTTGCGCAGGCCGCTGGGCGCTTCACCCGTGGCGTAGGATTCCGCCTCCTCCTCCTTCTCCTCCTCCTGCTCCTCCTCCCTTCTCATCCTCCTCCCCCACCTCCCCTCTTCTTCCTCGTAGTGGCGGTGGCGCCAACTATACACTACGATCCTCCATCCTCCCCCTCTCCTGAAGAAACTTTGCAGGGGGCGCTTGGAGAAGGGGCCTAAAGAGGTTCTCGCCAGTTTCTAGCGGGAAAGCACCCGAAATGTTGAGAATTCTTCTATTTGGGAGCTTGCGATGCGGGCCTCAAGGGTTGCGCCGTAACTCTCATGTCGTTTCAGAGCGCTGGCGGGAGACTAGCTGGCGGCTCTATGTCTTGTATCCGTCCCCCTCCCCTCCGAGGAGAGCGAAGGGAGGAGGAGAGGGTGAGGAAAAAGGACATGTACAAGTGGCCTCATCCGAGGCAAAGCTTTGTGAACCGCCTGGAGCTGCAGCGCCCAGGGATCTCAATGTACAGAAAATGAAAAAGGGGACGGTCGCTGGTGACGACGACGGCGACGACGACGACAGTGATGACGGCGGTGACGGTGACGACGAAGACGACGATGGTGATGACGGCGGTGACGACGACTACGGTGACGACGGCGTTGACAACGGTGTCGGTGTCGGTGTTGGTGTCGTCGACGACGACGACGACGACGACGACGACGACGGCGGCGGCGGCGGCGGCGGAGGCGGCGGCGACGAAGGTGGTGGCGCCATTGACAACCCTCGCAGACCTTCGTCGACTTTCGACGACGTTCGAAAGCGACAGAGACGCCGAGACGAGAAGCGGTGGTGGCGGCTGCCGCTACCAGCCGCGGGCGCGCCGTGGCGCAGGCGAAGGCGACGTTGGACAGCTGGGGCGCCCCGAAGTGCGGCCCGCTGCCTGGGCAGAGGCTGATGGCCGCGGCGAGGGGGAGGGGGGAGCGTTCTTTACAAGCGGGTGGGAGGGAAGGGGGAGGAGGGGATGAAGAAAAGAAGAGGGGAAGGCATGAGGAGATGGAGGAGGATGGCAGAGAGAAGGAGGAGAGAGAGGACGGAAAAGGAGGCGATGTGATGTGAGGTGGTAGATGATGATGAGGTGGATGATAGGAGGGGACGAGGTGGCGAGTAAAGAAGAAGAAGCCGACACCTCACGCCTCCGCTCCCCTGGTACGTCCCAAGACGTCGACCTCGGATCCCCCGGACGACTCGACCAAAACTGCCTGTCCATCCTGAACCCGAAACCTTCGGTCACGATGTTGCTCAAGACGGGAGGGGGTCTCATCCATAGATCCGACGCATTGACGTTTTCAATACGGGATCCTTGGAAGTTCCGACCCTTCCCCCAAGGCTAGCGTTTCACCCTGAGTCGTTGTCTGGCCCGGCGAGGGCCCAGCCAAAGGACGAAAACGGCGAAACCACCTCGTGGTGGTTCCCTCGGTGTCCCTCGGTGACTACGCTGGGAGGCCCGGGGGATCGGCCGTCCATAAAGGGGGGGGGGATCAATGGGGGGGGGGGGGGCGGGGAGACGCGCACCTCACGTGCCCCTTTTGGGACCCATGGGGGCCCTTTGGGCTACAAAAGGTGCACCTTGCTTGTGGGCAGGGACCGACCGTGCTGTCATTCCCATCGGCCTACCACGAGATGTTCTTTGAACCCCCAGTTGTCCTACGAACAAAAGCAAGGTTCTTTCCTATAGGCCTACCACGAGATGTTCTTTGAACCCCCAGTTGTCCTAAGAACAAAAGCATGGTTCTTAGAACATAAAGACGATGTGCTGAAACAAGACAGCCCCAATCAGACATGTTCTAAAGACATCTTGTGCAAGCCACAAACGGTTCTTAGAGCATCGTTTGGTGGGCCTACAGACCCACCAGGACGCTTCGCCCCTGCTTGACGCTTCACCCCCCCCCACTGATCGCCCCCCCGTCAGGTCACGCCCGAGAGGATCCGGGAACCCGAGCCCCCCTCGGGGGTGGGGGCTGCTGCTCTGGCCCGGGCTTGGCCCTCCGCCCGCCGTGTGGCCGCTGCTGCTGCTGCGCCAGCGCCTGGTGGACCTGCGCCGGCCGGCCGCGGGCAGAGGGCCACGGGGGCGGAGAGGGGGAGCCGAGGCGTGTGCTGCTGGGGGGGGGCAGGGAGGAGGAGGGTGGAGTGAAGGTGTGTGTGTGTGTGTGCGTTGCGTACAGCGTGTCCTCTGTTGCCTTTCCACCGGAGCAGTCGCCCTCTGCCCAGCCGCCGACTGTGCCCGGCCCTCTGCCCTCTGTCTGTCTGCCTGTCTGTCTGTCTGTTATGTGTGTGTGTGTGTGCCAAGGGGTGGGGGTGGGGGGGGCAGAAGGTTCGAGGTTGTGGGCGCGCTGTTCTGCCTCTGGGTGCCTCGAGGAGGCCTCTTTGAGTCATGGCTGGGTCCGCACCGGAGTTCTCGCCACAAAGCACTCCAAGAGAGATCCAGGGGCCGATGTTCGAGGGTCCTCCTCCGCAGCGGATCATCTATGATCGGGGACCGACGGTCTTCTAAATTCGTTCAGCCTTCTGGGTCTGGGGGAAGCTTCGGACTGACACGGTTGGATTCGCTTCGAGATGCTGGGCATCCGGAAGCTCGCCTCGGTGCCCACAACAAGACAACTTCGTGCTCGCTTCGGGCCCCCCAAAGCAGACATGCGCCGTGAAACAGAGCCGCCTGGAGGCTCCCGCCTCGGCCCGTGCAGTCTCGGTTGTTCCCGGGACCTGGCACCCCTGTCTCGAGAGGGCTCCCAGGTAGGCCATCGAGCTCGGCAGAGCGGAACTCGCTTCATCAGGACACGGAGGACACTGAGGAAGTCAGAGGAGGAAGCAGGAGGAGAAGCAGGAGGAGAGGCGCACCCGGAGAGGACGCAGGGCGGCCATGGCCGCCGCCGTCAGGGCCGGTCCGAAACTTCCGGCGCCTGGCCCGCGAATCCGGCTCGAGCCGCGGCCTGACTCCCGACGTGCACTCCTCCTTGCGGCGGCGAGCTGGGGGGGGGAAGTGAGAAGGAATTCGGAGAAATGTTCTACGCCTCCCCCGAAGACGCAGAAAACCCTTTCAGAATGCGAGAGGGCTTCCGAGAGGTCCCGCCGCCTTCTGGAAAGGCCTTCTCCTCCTCAATTCCCCCCCTCGCTCGCCGCCGATCCTCGGCCTACCCCGCGGGTGGACAGAACACCCTTTAGCAAAACGCCCTTTAGCGAAAACTACCAGGGGCACCGGGTTCCGAGTGGACCTGGGCGGGGTAGCTACTCGACGACAAAAAACCAGCGAATGTGTCTGGCGAAACGCACTCCGATTAGCGAAATCGAGTGGGGACTGCACTTGTGCACTCGAATGTCGATGTCGAGTGGACCTTTGCGGATTTCCTCAGTACTCATCTGGGAGGGCGTTCTCTCAACGCCCGACCCCCCCCCCTTTGCCATTTCTTAGCTCCCCCACGTCGCCCCAACGCTTGTCTCCCCTGCGTCCTCGGACATCGCCGCGTCCCGTTCGAACAACGCCGGCACTGGTCACTGCACCGACCCGGCAGACGTGCTGCAGCGAATTGTTGCGTGGATGGCTGCCAATGCAAAACACCGAAAAGGCAAGTGAAAAACGAAGTGAATGTCGCGTGGATTTTTCCCAACCACCCTTGGCTGGGCAGAAGTTTTGAATAGAGCACGCGGTCGCGCTCCTCCACACGCCTCCCGCCTCCCAACTCCTGCCTCCCGCCTCCCCTCCTTCTTGTCTCCTCTTTCCTTCCCTGGGGGGCTGCGATATGCGAAACTGTCACCAATTTCGAAGGCTGCTGGTGGGTCCAGCGGAGTGAGACACCGCGCAGACCTGAGCGAGACCTCGCCGTCCCTGGGGGGGCTGCGATCTGCGAAACTGCCGCCACTTTCGAGGGCTGCTGGTGGGTCCAGCGGAGTGAGGCACCGCGCAGACCTGAGCGAGACCTCGCCGTCCCTGGGGGGCTGCGATCTGCTAAGCTGTCGCCACTTTCGAGGGCTGCTGGTGGGTCCAGCGGAGTGAGGCACCGCGCAGACCTGAGGAGGCGTCGCTGTCCTGAGGGCTGCAATCTGCGAACTGTCGCCACGTTCGAGGGCTGCTGGTGGGTCCAGTGGAGTGAGTCACCGCGCAGACCTGAGCGCGACATCGCCGTCCCTGGGGGGCTGCGATCTGAGAAACTGTCGGCACTTTCGAGGGCTGCTGGTGGATCCAGCGGAGTGAGGCACCGCACAGACCTGAGCGAGACCTCGCCGTCCCTGGGGGGCTGCGATCTGAGAAACTGTCGCCACTTTCGAGGGCTGCTGGTGGGTCCAGCGGAATGAGGCACCGCGCAGACCTGAGCGAGACCTCGCCGTCCCCAGGGGGGGGCTGCGATCTGAGAAACTGCCGCCACTTTCGAGGGCTGCTGGTGGGTCCAGCGGAGTGAGGCACCGCGCAGACCTGAGCGAGACCTCGCCGTCCCTGGGGGGCTGCGATCTACGAAACTGCCGCCACTTTCGAGGGCTGCTGGTGGGTCCAGCGGAGTGAGGCACCGCGCAGACCTGAGCGAGACCTCGCCGTCCCTGGGGGGCTGCAATCTACGAAACTGTGGCCACCTTCGAGGGCTGCTGGTAGGTCCAGCGGAGTGAGGCACCGCGCAGACCTGAGGAAGCGTCGCTGTCCTGAGGGCTGCAATCTGCGAACTGTCGCCACGTTCGAGGGCTGCTGGTGGGTCCAGTGGAGTGAGTCACCGCGCAGACCTGAGCGCGACATAGCCGTCCCTGGGGGGCTGCGATCTACGAAACTGTCGCCACTTTCGAGGGCTGCTGGTGGATCCAGCGGAGTGAGGCACCGCGCAGACCTGGGCGAGACCTCGCCGTCCCTGGGGGGCTGCGATCTGCTAAGCTGTCGCCACTTTCGAGGGCTGCTGGTGGGTCCAGCGGAGTGAGGCACCGCGCAGACCTGAGCGAGACCTCGCCGTCCCTGGGGGGCTGCGCTCTGCGAAACTGTGGCCTCTTTCGAGGGCCGCTGGTAGGTCCTGGTAGGTCCAGCGGAGCGAGGCACCGCGCAGACCTGGGCGAGACCTCACCGTCCATGGGGGGCTGCGATTTGCGAAACCGTCGCCACTTTCGAGGGCTGCTGGTGGGTCCAGCGGAGTGAGGCACCGCGCAGACCTGAGCGAGACCTCGCCGTCCCTGGGGGGCTGCGATCTCCCACAGTCTCCAGAACTCCGCTCTTCGATGTTGGCGCCATGACACTGGGCATCCACAGGCACCTCTAAGAACAGAACCACTGTGCGAGCGTGCGGAGGGCCAAGAGCACACCTTCTGATGAGCAGCAGCGGTCTAGAAATCAGAAACCCTGCCAAAGGCTGCATCAGCCGCGCTGGTTTCAGGTGGGTGAACAGGGTTAATTCTTTGCCAGGTTCAACGCTCCAGATCGGGAACGTTGAACCTTGCAAAGAACTAATCGGATCGAGCACGCCGCTATACTTCCTCCCCCGTCCCCTCATCCTCGTCCCGCCTTCCCCTCCTCGGAAGAAACGCACCGCAAACAACTCCGCTTCCTCCTCATCCAACACCTCAATGCACTTTCAGGCACGGTGCTATTAGCCGTGCGGGACACGCCAGGGTGATGATGGGGAGGACCAAGAGACGCCAGTAAGATTACGGATGGACAACTCTCACGCGTTCGGGTATATCGATGGCTCCGTAAGCAGGGGAGGATACTGAGGAGGAGGGGGAGGACGAGGAGATGAAGCGAACCCGTGGAACGAGGAGCGGGAGTAGGAGGGCGATGTGGAGGAGGAAGAGGGGCGGCGCGCAAGGGGCTCGGTGACATTGCCGCAGAGCACCGTCAGGAACTCGTTGTGCCTGCTGCTGCTGTGAGAGAGGGGGAGGTATGTATATATATATATATATATATATAGAGAGAGAGAGAGAGAGAGAGCGAATACAAACACATTGACACTCGTATACGTGTGTATACAGAAGAGGGAGAGAGGGAGAGAGAAAGCGAGAGAAAGAGAGAGAGAGAGAGAGAGAGCGAGACAGAGAGAACGAGAGAGAGAGAGAAAGAGAGAGAGAGAGAGATAAAACGAGAAAGAGAGAAAGGAGAGAGAGAGAGAATGACAGAGAGCGAGAGACAGAGAGAGAGAGAGAGTGAGGCTGAACCCAAAACAAGCTCCTCTCCTACCCCGCCAACCCAACATATCCCCTCCATTCTCTTGTCTCTGCAACAATCCATTCACACAATCCTCCTTCTCTTCCTCGGCCCTTCCCCTCCTCCTCCTCCACAACCCTCCTCGCCTTCATCTCCTGATATTGCGCGAGTCGGACTGGCTTTAGCCCAAGGGCTGGAGCGTTCACCTCCTCCTCACTCGTCCTCCTCATTCCCCTTCCAGGCATGTGTGTTCCCCCTGCCATCCCCCTCCTCCTCCTTCTCCTCCTCCATTGATTCAGTATCTCGTTGTGGCTCCTCTCTTTGCCATACTCCGTATCTTCCTCCTTCAACTCCTCCTCCTCTCCTCCGCCGCCTCGTCCTCATCTCCCATTCCTCCTCCCGTTTCTCAAAGGGCCGTGGGCCCAGCCTGCCCATAGATCGTTTCTCATGGCTCAGGGCTTGGCGTGGCAGACTAGTACACGGTGCCGATTCGCACCGCCAGGATAATGCACCGCAAGAAGCGCGCATACTTTACCCGTGTCCAGCGCAATGCGTGCCCATGCGAGTGCTGGTGCCAACAGAATTGATTTGCTCGGAGACAAGTTTCCATAACCTTGTCTCCGTAGTGAACATCCCTCCTCCGACTTCCTTCTCCACGCCCCCATTCCCTCCTCGTCCACGCTCAAGCTCGGCCGTGGCCAGAGGTGCTGACGACACAGGTCCTCCTTTTCCTTTTCCTTCTCCTCCTCCTGCTAAGCCGTCCTCGTCCCTCCTCTTGCTCCTCCTCCTCCTTCTCCTCCTCTTCCTCCTCCTCCTCCTCCTGCTAAGCCCTCCTCGCCATCCTCGTTCTCAACATCCTCCTCGTCCTCCTCGTTCTCGTCCTCATCCTCCTCATCCTCTTCCTCCTCTCTCGTCCTCTCGTCGTCGTCGTCCTCCCCGTCCTTCTCCTCTCTCTCTTCCTCTCCCTCCTCCTCCTCCTCCTCCTCCTCCTCCTCCTCCTCCTCGTCTTGGTCCTCCTCCTCCTCCTCCTCCTCCCCGCTGCTCCCGCTGCTCCGCCTGCTCCTCCTCCTCCTCCTCCTCCTCCTCCTCCTCCTCCTCCTCCTCCTCCTCCTCCTCCTCCTCCCCCAGCTTGCTGTGGAGGAATTCGCGCTGGACGCCTCCGTCGGCGAGGCGTTGCCTTCGCAAGCCCAAGCGAGGCTTACGCGGGCACCGCCAGCGAGGCGGACAAATCCTGCTGGCCACTGCTGGCGGTTAGCGGCGAGGCCAGAGCCTCGTCTGGACGAGCCTGTGCTATTCGGGTCACTGCCCTCGCGTTCGCGGGCGTGGCTGCCCCTCAAGGGATTCGGTTGGGGCGACTTCGACTTGGTGCTGATCAGGGCTCGAGATAAACAATGTGGTTCGTTTTCGTGTTGAATACTCACTTCCAGAGAATAATTTTTGCTGATCTCCGGAAACGGTTCCGCGCGCTCTCGCCTCGGCGCCGGCTACATTTTCTCTGAAGACGAGGCTCCCGCTCGAGCGTCGGCTTGGGCTTGAATGTGGGCCCTTGGAAGCCCACATACGACAAAAACGGCTCCCGCTCAACGAGACACCCTGGCCAGAGAGGCCCCCGAACTCAGGAACGGCGCTCTCGCTCGAGACTTCCTCGAAATTCAATTAATCTGGCGGAGGCCCAGCCACGACGACAAGGGTTCCTGCTCGATACTTCCTCACGATTTACTCCGCGAGCCCCTCGCCAAAAAGGCCCCCGAAGTCAGGAACGGCGCTCTCGCTCAAGAGTTTCCCGTAATTCAAGCAAGTTGGTGGGGGCACGGACGCGGCGACAAAGGTTCCCGTTCGATGTTCTCCATGGGTATAGCCCCTGGCCGGAGAGGCCCCCGAACTCAGGAACGGCACTCTCGCTCGAGATTTCTTCGCACTTCAGTCAGTGGCCGACAAGGAAGATATCCCCCCCCCCGAAAGGGGGCGCAATCGAAGACGAAGTGGGCGGGTATCGAGGGATGGAGTATACAGAAGGCAAGACACGCGTGCCAGTAAGAGCGAACAGTCTTAAACATATTGTTGTTGTTGGTGTTGCTGTTGAACTCTCACTACTACAGAATAATTAGTGTTGATCCCCCCTCTGGTGCACATTATGGCTGTTCGACTGAAGTGCCCCACCCGGCGCCCGCACCCATTTTTCATAGAAAAGCCGGGAACATCTTCATCTTCAAACTGCGTTGTTGGCCCCAGGGTTACAACAACAACAACAACAATTACTAGCACGTGGGGACACACCGTTCTCACCAGTGCCAGGGTTTTCATAGGAGGCGGGCAATACCCCCACTTTGTGGGGGGGCCGGTTCAAGCTCTACCAAATTTCCAAACGACTCTTCGCCACCACCCACACCCAGCTTCCCGCCCTATGACGTTCGGACACTTCACTTCGTGGCATGCGGACGACCGTGGCTACTATTCAGGGCCCCGCGGCCGACGACGACGGCGTGCGCGCGCGAAGAAAAAACGAATGTGTCCCGCATGGTATTATTTGACAGGGATGATGGCCCTGGCAGGTGCGCAACCGTTGTTGCAGAAGTTCGAAAAAGTTGCTCGCAAAAGCCCGTTTGACAGAAATGATTAAAAAGTGTTGGGTTTCCTACGAATCCGCAAGAGCGCGCGGGATGAAATTTTGACATTTTTTTTTGAAAAACCATTGTTTTTTGATGTTTTTATGTTAAAATCGCTACGAAAACTAAGGTTTTGGAAGGATTTCGTCTTGCGCGCGCGAATGTCCACTTTACCTTATTTTTTGCAAGGGATTCTTGAAGTTTGGTTATGTTAGAACAAGAAATGTCCACTTTAGCTTATTTTTTGCAAGGGAAAACCGATCGTAACAACACAACCGGATCCGGACTCCCCCGTTTTGCCTGAGACTTCCTCACGAAAATGATGAAAATGAGGCTGCGGCCTAGGCGCGGCGGGGGGGTCGTGCACCAGGGGCCCCAACAATAATTATTCTTTAGAAGTAAGAATGTTCAACAACAACAACAACAATTACTAGCACGTGGGGACACTCCGTTCTCACCAGTGCCAGGGTTTTCATAGGAGGCGGGCAATACCCCCACTTTGTGGGGGGGCCGGTTCAAGCTCTACCAAATTTCCAAACGACTCTTCGCCACCACCCACACCCAGCTTCCCGCCCTATGACGTTCGGACACTTCACTTCGTGGCCTGCGGACGACCGTGGCTACTACACTGGCGCATGGGTACAGTGACTTGTTGTGGTAACATTTTCTGGACGCTAGCTTTTTTTATGTTTTAAGTGCGCGGTGCTAAAATTCCTAAAAAAAAACCAATGGTTTTTGAAGATTTCGGCGTGCGCGCGCGAAGAAAAAACGAATGTGTCCCGCATGGTATTATTTGACAGGGATGATGACCCTGGCAGGTGCGCAACGGTTGTTGGAGAAGTTCGAAGCACGTGAACAAGTTGCTCGGAAAAGCCCATTTGACAGAAATGTTTAAAAAGTGTTGGGTTTCCGACAAATCCGCAAGAGCGCGCGGGATGAAATGTTGACACTTTTTTTGAAAAACCATTGGTTTTTTGATGTTGTTATGTTGAAATCGCTACGAACACTAAGGTTTTGGAAGGATTTCGTCTTGCGCGCGCGAATGTCCACTTTACCTTATTTTTTGCAAGGGATTCTTGAAGCTTGGTTATGTTAGAACAAGAAATGTCCATTTTAGCTGATTTCTGGCAAGGGAAAACGGGGGACAACAAAACAACCAGATCCGGACACCCACGTTTTGCCTGAGACTTCCTCGCGAAAATGATGAAAATGTGGCTGCGGCCTAGGCGCGGCGAGGGGGCCGCGCACCAGGGGTCCCAACAATAATTATTCTTTAGAATAAATAATGTTCAACAACAACAACAACGGCTCCCGCCTGAGACTTCCTCACAATTTAGCCAGGACCCCCGCTCCCGCCCGAGACTTCCTCGCATATTGTTCAGGAATCGCGCCCTCGCTATGGACCTCCTTGTAATTTACTCAGGAATCACTCTCTCGTCGCTCTGGACCCGCGCTCTCGCTGGAGACTTCCTTGTTTGAAACTATACTCAGCGTTGAGTTAGGATTTCCCACAATTTACTCAAGCGCCGCGCTCCCGACAGCCAGGCATCCAGGAGCCGCGCTCATGCTTAGGACTCCCTCACATATTATTTAGGAATCGGGGTATCGCTGCCCTTCGCGGCCCCGTTGCAGCCCTTCGTGGCCCCCTCGCTGCCCTTCGTGACCTCGTTGCAGCCCCTCGTGGCCCCCTCGCTGCCCTTCGCCACCCCATTGCAGCCCCTCGTGGCCCCCCTGCTGCCCTTCGTGGCCCCGTTGTAGCCCCTCGCGGCCCCCATCGCTGCCCTTCGTGGCCCCGTTGCAACCCCTCGTGGCCCCCATCGCTGCCCTTCGTGGCCCCGTTGCAGCCCCTCGTGGCCCCGTCGCTGCCTTTCGTGGCCCCGTTGCAGCCCCTCGTGGCCCCCATCGCTGCCTTTCGTGGCCCCGTTGCATCCCCTCGCGACCCCCATGGCCCTTCGCGGCATCCTCGCTGCCCTTCGTAACGCCATGCGCATGCCCTTCATGGGCCCCGCTCGTTCGCGCCCGTCGCGGCCCCGCGCGCATGCTCTTCGCGGCCCCGCTGTCGCACATCGCGGCCCCCTCGCTGCCCTTCGTGTCCCCGTTGCTGC